CGCTACTCCTCAAGGGTGTTTTAGTGCGGTTGTAACCGTTCAAAGTGTGGACGAATTCATGATTGAGCATGTCAGAATATTTGTTCACACCTAATTTAAACGAAACTAAACCTTGTGCGTACAATTTGTTGTGTTTGGCGACTTTGTGAGCGTTTTCCATGAAGATTTTCATTCGGAAGCGTTCTTCGGTTTCGCTTTCGTATTGTTTTTTATGAGTCACCTGAAATTGAACATTGCTTTTTAAATACATATTATATTAATCCACTACAGCAAATAATGATGAATATCACATAACGTATGGTCCTAAAGCTTTGAGAATTTTTTAGATGGTTTTTATTTATACCAAATGGTGTTTAAACAGGTTGCTGCTGGAAGTAAAGTATGACAATTAACTTGTTTATGTTATGGCAGTTTAGTTGTTTCATTCGGGTTTAGAAAATGTCTTATAAGCTAGATATTCATTAGGACATTTACAATCTAGTTGGACAAATACCTAAACGTGAAATTGCTGTAATTTATAGAGAACAAAACATTTCTGTAACAACAATTTATCGGACCATAAAAAAATGTGAAGAGGGTATACCCCGTGTTAATGTGTTAAAAAGTCCTCGACCCAGAATTTTGTGGGAACAAAGAATGATTAAAGCCATTAAAAAAAGTTAGAGTATCACAGCAAAAATTAGGTCGAAGATTGGCTATTTCAAAGACCATTTATATTCAAAGATATCTTTCCAAACTCAATGAAGTTTTTCTTCAAAAATATTTTGTATTGTTTTAGTGTAAAATTCGATGTATTTGTAAGGAAATATAAATCACAGATTGCATGTTTTTTTGTAAGACAAAGTGCACTACTAGAATTTAATTTATAACAATTTTGCTTCTAACGCTTACGCCAAATGCTTATTAACACTTGAAAATAATTTGTGATAAATATACAGGATGTTTGAAAATGCTTCTTATTCATATGAAGTTGAAACAGTGACAGTGACATAGACAGATTTGTCAAATTAACGCCAAAAGACTTCAAATCTACAAACGACAGGACATGCAACGGAAAGCACAAAAAATATAAAAACAAAAGAGAAAAAGCTTTAAATCTGAAGCAACTTTAAACTTTTTTTAAATTTGCAGATGAAACATTTCTATAGATTTTGACTTTTTTCTTCTCTAAAAGTTTTTAGTTAAATAACTATTAAAATGTGCAGTATAATTTATTTGTTTCACTTTTTAAATTAGCTAGAAAATTTGTTTATAACACGTTTTATAGGAAGCGAGTTAAACATTAAATTAACTATAATTACCTAAATCTTCTGTATTGCGTACAAATTAAAAAAAATAATAAAATGCCAAAACAAATTAATTTTATTTTTATATCGATTTATCGGTTTATTTATTTTTTAAAACATAGTCACACTATATTATTCAAATAAATAATGGGTCTTTTTAAATTTGGCGTCAAAGCTAGTCGTGAAAGTTATAATGTAAACAAATCACCGAATTGAAGTTATTGAACTGATATTTAACACTTTGTCAAATTATTAAACATTGTGATTCACGACAAACTCGTAGTCACTCCCAATAAAGTTATTAGTTGTTCATATACAAAGGTTTTATTACTTATAATTTTGTTTTGAATAATTTCTCCACTGTTTTTTCAATCTTTCGAAAAATAGTAATATGTTTTCGTAAAGAAAATAGTGTTTAAAATATTATTTTTCATCTTTTTTTAAAATTAACATTAGAAGTATAATTATCATAATTAGATTTTCATTGTCTTGAAACAGTTTTCATTATTTATAAGACTCGTAAAATAGGTTCTCTGAAACGCTTAAAACTAAAATATGAAGATGAGAAAAAATATATTATTACAAACAAAATAAAAAACTAAAATAATTACCAAAAAAAGTAAAAACCATAAGAATGCCACTTATTGTTTAAATTGTTTATTAGATAACTATTTTAACTGCTTTACTATTGTTACTTTTGAACACTTTATTAGTTAATACAAATTAATTTTCCTATAGTGGTCAAACTTCAAATGTTTAACATAAAGTTAAATAAAAAATATTATCTATAAGAATTTTAAAATTATGGAGGTTTAAATTTTGCCCTTTGACCCTATTTATTTCTGTTGAAAAAATAATTTCTTTTGCTACAGACTGTTATCTTATCTTACTTGGCATTTTTCTTTTTGTTGTGTTTTTATAAAACATCCTGTAAAATCAACGCATATTTGAACCATTTTTAAAGCGACCAAAGTCCAGTGGGTATAAAAGCCGTTCAAAAATTACAGGTAAAAACAGGTGGTTACCTGGTATATATTGTATTGTTCCAAAAGGTTCCATACTTTCAGAGAATGGTAAACGCAAACAGGTTAAGTATGAGAGAAAATTTCGGTTGATATTATGAATTTTTTGTATTACTATTTAAACTTTACTTGTTTCACACTTTTGAGTTCACTCAAATCGATTTTCTGCATAGGTGTTGATCAGCAATAAATATTTATATTTCATCATTGTATTGTGAAACAACGACACATATATTATTAGCAAAAAAAATCAATATTAATACAAAAATGATAATTTATCCAGTTTATCATTTCGTATCAAAATCCATTAAATAAATATTTATAAATATAAAAGTTTTAGTAAACGTTCAAAGGTTATCGATACGAGATTTCTTATTTTGATACAACATTTCATATAATTTATTCGCAAATAATGCGTCTATTTTATTCAGTTAGGGGAAACACCGAGGACATATTGGTACTTCCCACTTAAATGAGTGCCCCGTCGCTTAGCAACAAAGTTAATTAGTTAATTGTATTGCGTCTACAAACAATAAATATAAATTTCATCATTTGGTACAGATAAATTAAAAATAACTGGTTTTAAAATTTCATGAACAAAGAAACTGCATCTAAAATTGCGATTTCCGGAATTTTAACCTTGAATCAACACAATTTTATATCATGATGGCAAAGAGAGAGCAAAAATGTCAATAATCGAAGATAATGCAAAAGAATCTCAAACAATACTGACCTTGAAAGCGCCCCATTGCTCCTGGACTAGGTCGAAAAAAGACACTGCCTGACTGATGCCAACCACACAAAGTGCCACAAATATCAGGAACTTCATATTTCTGTAAAATATCAATGCATAAGTTAGTAATATAATTAACTGCCTTTTGATGGAAAAAAGTAGAGTGGTTTGTTTCAAATTAACAATTTCTGATCCAACTAATAATATTAAAATGAAAAAAAGCATAATCACCTTATTAAAATTTGTTCGAATGCTCTTTTCCCACTCACACCAAAACTTGAAGTGAGTAGAAAATTTTAATGAGTCAAATTTGTTTTGTACATAAAAGTCAGCTGACCAGGAAGTACCCCCACCAACAAGACCAGTGACATGACGACTAACATGACGGTCATAATGTCCCTATTTGGCAAAGTGAAATCATTGTTCAATAATGGCTAATCAGTTAATAAATTAAGTCAATTTTTTTGTAGCAACATTCATTTCAATTGTTAACGAACAAAAATTTAGATGAAACGAAAAAATTCAAAATTTAGGCAAATCTAGGGTGTTCACTATCTTACTATTGGCACCGACTGATGGTTCACTCAGTGTCGGCGCCTTTGATGTCGCTATTCAGGAATCTGTGACCTCGATTGAAAAGCACATAGTGCTCATCTCCCCAGAGCGTAGAGTTTACAGCCACAACCAATGGTAATCTGACATTATTGACAGTGACAATAGTAAACAAACATGAAAGTTTAAAAATTTACTTGAATAAAAAGGATAGAGATACATTTGCTGCTTCAATATTGCGCAGGGGAGAACACAATAACGTACAAACTAAAATTTGAATCGAAAATTTATACTGTTTGGTAGTAATAAACCATTGCTTATTAAATTTCACGCTTTTTAATGAAGTGTTGAATCTTATATACAAGTCTCAATGCAAAAATTAAAAATTGCAGAAATTATTTAGCTACTTTTACATTAAATGTATTTTTTCCAAAAAATAGTATAAATGTAAATCATTTTATTTTTGTTTTCTGTACGGCACGTCCCGAAACGCCTTTACATTTTAACAGAACAGAGCTGTTTTTTCGAGAGTGAATTTTAACTCCTTTAAATACAAAAAAAAAAACAGCTAACCAGCTCGAAATGCTTTGAAACTCAGCAGTTTCACGAGCCGAAAACGAATTTTACATTTTTTAATACAGGGTGTTTCACATAATTTTACGAGGTCTGCGCCTGTAAGATGCAATCAATAATACATATTCCGATACGAACTCCATTACAAATTTTGAAAAATTGGATAATCTTCTCTAGTTTGTTCACCCTTTCAAAAATTACAACGTTTTTTAGTTAGTTAGTGATTAAAATAGATAAACTACAATTATATTTATGCCGTCTGCAGTTTATGACTATTAATAAAACAGTGATTAGTTTGACAACTACTGTCATGGGTTTCCAAAAATTAAATAATTAAATGTCTATTTTTTGTATCCAGTGTTCTGTGATTTTTGTATATTTGGGTGCGTACATTAGGCACAAGCCTTGCAAAGTTATGTGAAACACCCTGTATAGGTATCTTAAAAACAGAATCCTTTAACTTTTTTTTTTCAAAAAGGTGTGAGAACATCCTTAAGAAAAATTTTACTTCTAGGCAAAAACACAGTTAATTTCTATTCATAATTTAATAAATAGTTATTTTGACGTTTTTCATGTTCCACATGTTTTTACTTTCATTTGCAACGGTGGACTTGGGTAATGTTTGAATTACTTTGTGACGTTGTGACGTCAGGATTACGCAGTTCGGAACTGTTACGAAATGGTTTTTGTGCCGTTTTTGCAGAGATTATTACAATAACCCGTCAATCTTAGCCAAGCTCCTGTACAAGTCGCTTAAATTGTAATAATTGTCTGGATAAATTATTTCAGTGCAAAATTGTGTTGAAATGGAAGCTGTACATCAGTGAGTGTGTGTTGTGTATTCGAGTGCCTAATAGACATTTAGTAGTGAGCGATTTATAAAATTTTGAGTAATCAATGGGAACAGTTTTCGGGGAAATAGACAAGACAATCGTGCTACAAGTAACTGGATTAAAGGGTAAGTCAACATTTTTTTTAGAAAAATCAAATTTAAATTTTATTTAACATTTTCAAGAAATTTAATAAATACAGTGCAAATTTTGTGCTTCTTTTTATTTCAGTAGGTCCGTTCTATAAGATGAGAGAAACCGTTACAAATGGTAGCAGAAAAAGATGCCATATAAAGTCAGTGCATTTGAATTTTTTGTTTATTGCAAAGTGAAGTGCAGAAAACGAGTGCAAATTTACTTTTACAATAATTTTTAACCTAGCAACGTCCTCGAGTATTATAAATCGCATAATGTTCTCGTTATATTAATAGCTATTATATTGTCATGTCACGCTTACGTTGACTTAAATGTGTTATATCAGGATATTTATTATTCAGAATTTATTTTAACATAGGATGATTGCGAATAAAATAGTATCGAAACCTCGCTCTAGAACAGGTAACCAACGCTCAGTTGTAATGAAGCTCTTTTTCTTGCACGGTTTGTAATACACTATAAATTTTAATTTTATCAAGTTAAGGTTGATGGTAATTAAAATAAGTTAAGAGGTTCTTAGAAATCGTACAACTTTATTTGTTCACAAACGAAAAAACTACATCTTAAAAAATACAAAAATCACAATAGAACATAAATATGTAATAGTTATTCGAGCCTACAACCCTACATAAAAACACACAGCCAACCTAAACTAATGGATAACTAGCTAGAGTGGCAATTCCGCAATTATTATTCCGATTACGAGCCATCTTGATATACCCTTGATCCCCCCAACTTTCCCCCCACGAATTTTTAACCAACCAATAATCATTACCATCTTCATCTGTTCCATATCCTACCACCAAAACCGCATGGTCCAGTTGCTCCAGTTTCGAACTGCATTCGGGTTCGTAGTACACACCTTCGGAATATTGTTGGAAACTCGGATGACTTGCATCGATAGCAACTGAGATTGGTCCAACTGTAGCAACAGCAGCTTTGAGTTTGTCTTCATCTCCAGATTCGATATCGACAAATCCGCGATCGGTGGCTCCCTTGTTTCTAGGCTTGTAGTGACATTTCTCATCTTCGGCTTTGTATGGATAAGACTGTTCAGTGTCAATTCCACCATTGGCTTTAATATAACGAAAAGCGTTGTCCATGAAGCCGCCGTTGCAACCGTAATTTCCGAATTTCTCCGTACAGTCGACCAAGTTTTGCTCGCTGAGAGAGACCAATTTTCTGGTTTTGCGGTAATGCTGGCCCTCGAGGGATCCCGTCTGAAAGAAATTACTAAAAATAAGCAAAAAAAATCCCCATTTTCTTTTGGCAAACTTGCCGCACTGAAACTCCAGCAAGAGGCACATTGTCCTTGATCCTTGACAGGTGTYACCGCTCCACGTTTTCTCCAATCGACTTGTTTTGGCAATTCGACATTGGCCGGTGGGATGAAAGTGATAGATTCCTCCAATTCGCTACTCCTCAAGGGTGTTTTAGTGCGGTTGTAACCGTTCAAAGTGTGGACGAATTCATGATTGAGCATGTCAGAATATTTGTTCACACCTAATGTAAACGAAACTAAACCTTGTGCGAATAATTTGTTGTGCTCGGCGACTGTGTGAGCGTTTTCCATGAAGATTTTCATTCGGAAGCGTTCTTCGGTTTCGCTTTCGTATTGTTTATTATGAGTGACCTGAAATTGAAGATTGATGTTTTAACTACATATTATATAATTAACTACAGCAAATAATACCACATATTTCAAATTTTAGAATTTAAAATGTGTAGGATATATCAAATATTTAGTATTTCAAATTTTTATAGTTATTTCTTAAACTTTAAAAATCGACTTCAATGCCTTGTTACACTAATAGTCATTTTACGCAGTAGAAAACTAAAAGGATTGTACCCAAAATAGACAATGTACCCCAGGCTCGATCAACTGAAGAATTTTAGACAAGTGTACGACATGAGATAGGAAGTCAGAAATGAGAAAAAAATTGAGACGTCGAACTTGGAGAAATCGATCCTGCTTTTGCCCAGAGAATGGGGCAAATCAGAAAAAAAATTGAGAGCCATTGAAGATAATAGCCCATTATCAGTAATTTGATTATGGATTATTTATTGTTGTTCATACTATCAATTGTTATTACATTTAGTTTAAAAACTAAAAAAGTTTTAAAAAAGTTACAAACATCTAAAAAATTTCCAAAACTTTCAGACAATGCGTTCTTTTAAAATTTATAATCTTTTTAGTATTTAAAATACGTAGCATATATCGAATATTTAGAATTTCAAATTTTTATCGTTATTTGTTAAACTTTAAAAATCGACTTCAGTGCCTTGCTGTACTAATAGCCATTTTACGCAGTAGAAAACTAAAAAGGATACCCCAAGTTTATCGCAATATGATATTTATAATGATGATACTGAACATTTTTTGCTGTGTAAATCCCCTACTGTACAAGTCAAAGTTCAAGTGATAAATAATTGAAAAACTGGAAAAAACACCGATTTACTCAAATATTCTAGGCAGGGGCGGACTGGCAAATTTTTATATGGAGTGCTAAGTTGAAATGAGGGCCCAATATACAATACAACAAAAATATGTAAAAAAACTACTTGTCACTTAATGTAGTAATTTTTTTGAAGGAGTTTGTTTCCTCTATTGAGATTGTGACGTCAGTTGAAATCATGATAGTTTAATAAACGAAAATAAAATTTTTAGATGAACGTCTTCAGAGGCTGCTTGTAATTTTAATTTTTGTTTTTCTTTTCGTTTCTGTGCACCAAATTTATACTTATATTTAGATTTTTCTATTATTTATGCCCACTAATAATTAAAAAAAAATAATTAAAATTAAATTAATATAAGTAAAAACGATATTTTATATCGGTTAATTAAAAAATGTGTGGCATAATTTTAATTACGAAAACCCCTCTACAATTGAGAATAGATAGTCAGTATTTATTGACCACGTCAAAAAATAGAAAAATTACAACTTTCCAAAAATCGGTATGAAAAAATGATTTTCTGGAAATATTTTTGTTATCGTTTACCCGATTATTATTAAATTTTGCATGTTAAAGGACAAAAAGACACTCTTTGATTTGGTGTAAACGGAAGTCTTGTAGAAGCTATCCATTTCCGGTAGCAATAGGTCTTCCCAGTTTTGGGATCATAACTTTTTTTCGGCTTATTTATTTCTGTTTTTGATATAGCCCAATCATTTTTTTTATAAAAAAAGTAGTTTCATATCGCCAAAATGTTCCGTTCTCGAGTTATTTGAGTTTAAACTAAATTGTACACTGTTCTGCAAAATCAGAATTTATAAATTTTGAGCGTACCTTGGAAACAATCCATTACGAATGACATCGCTGTCAATGCTGTCATATTTAATGTAAATTTCATTAAATCCAACGGAACATTTGTTTATTTCTTGATGATTATAAAAGCTGTAATTTTTCTATTGCTTGATGAGTTGAATTAATAAATACTGTGCTATCTATGCTCATTTGTAGAGAAATATTCGTGATTAAAATTATGACACAAATTTTTGAATCACTTGTATAAATCCACGCAGAATTTTTCTTACATACCTACGTGTAAGACCTTATAAACAAAATTGAGCTAAAATCATTGAAATTATAGAAATTATAGTTTTATTTGTTATGATGGCATTTTTTAATTCCTTCAAACTAAACACACTTAGCTTCTGCGAAAATCGCGGTTCAGCACTTCATGAATTAGCTCTATGCATTGTGGAAAGTTTATTTACAAATTTAAAATTATTGATATTATTTCAATGAGCTCTTGACATAATAAGCCTACCTAATTGGGGGCCCGTAAGACTCGAGGGTCCGGGGTGCTGTGGCACCCCGGCACCCCTGACCAGTCCGCCCCTGATTCTGGGTTTTGCATTTTTAATCCCAATCTACATTTATTGCTACATTTGTTAAAAATGTCTATTTTACAAAGCCCGAAAGTCCATTTTTTCTTCAAAAATATTTTGAATTGTCTTATTAGTGTAAAATTCGTTGTACCTAGGAATTTATTAATTTAATAAATAAAATAGACATGTATAAGTAAAAATTACAAAACAAAAATTTCGGCTAATAAGGCGGACTCTGAGAAAGTGCCCCGAATGCTAGCAGCATTTCCACGTTGAATTGCAAGGTAAATCTTCTCAAACAGGTATTGTTTAGCTTTTTTTTTCGTCAGAAACAGATATCAGCTTTTTACCAATTATATTGAGGAAATCAAAAGCTTCCTTAGACCAAGGGCCTAAAGTTTCAAAAGCTAAACCTTTAAAAATATAATTCGAAGAAATGACTTATACTTGTTATGTTTTCGATGACATGCTATTTCAGCAGCAGAACCTGAGGTTTCAGAAGTTTTTCATAAATAACTGTCGGCAAGGGTATCTACAACGGTTTCATCCCAAACTAAAGCTTGTCCTTTATACCATGGAACAAGTGTCGAACCATCAGGGCGCTTACCATCATCGCGGGACAGGCCCTTCGGCTCCAAAGTTGAATTTATATATGTATAGATGTTAATGTACGGTGAATTTTTGAATTAATTTCCGTGTGTCTTGAAAATCTACCACTGCTTTTCGGACAACTAAGACCATGAATACAAATACCTAAGGGAATAGAAACCACAGATTGCATGTTTTTTTGTAAGTGTGCTACTAGAATTTTATTTATAACAATTTTGCTTCTAACGCCAAATGCTTATCAACACTTGAAAATAATCTGTGATAAATGTACAGAATGTTTGAAAATGCTTCTTCTTCATATGAAGTTGAATTGCGATGTGACAGATTTGTCAAATTAACGCATAAAGGCTTCAAATCTAAAAACAACAGGACACGCAACAGAAAGCATAAAAAATATTAGATATAAAACAGAAAAAGCTTTAAACCTGAAACAATTTAGACGTTTTTTTAATTTGCAGATAAAACATTTCTATATTTTTTTTAAAAGATTTTAGTTAAATATCTATTAAAATATGCAGTATACTTTATTTGTTTCACTTAGCTAGAAAATCTGTTTATAACACGCTTTATAGGAAGCGAATTAAACATTAAATCAACTGTAATTACCTAAATCTGTTAAAAATAAACCGCCAAAACAAGTTTATTTTTATGTATCAATTTGTTTATTTTTTAAAATAAAAGTCACACTGAATTATTCAAATAAATAATGGGTGTCTTTTTAAATTTGGGGTCAAAGCTAGCTTTGAAAGTTTAAGTGTAAACAAATTACCGAATTGAAAAGTGACATTTGACATCTTGTCGGGCTTATTAAACATTGCGATTCACAACAAACTCATAGTCACTGCCAATAAAGTTATTAGTTGTTCATATAAATAAGTGTTAACACTTATAATTTTGTTTTGAATAATCTCTCCACTGCTTTTTTCACTCTTTCCAAAAATAGTATTATGTTTTCGTAAAGAGAATTGTGTTTAACATAATTTGTTTATCATTTCGTACCAAAATCCATTAAATAAATAAATATAAAAGTTTGTTTTAGTAAACATTCAAAGGTTATCATCAATACATTTCTTATTTTCATACAACATTCCAAATAATTCATTCGCAAATAATGCGTCTATGTTATTCAGTTAGGGGAAACACTGAGGACATATTGGTACTTCCTACATAAATGATTGCCCCGTCGCTTAGCAACAAAGTTAATTAGTTAATTGTATTGCGTCTACAAACAATAAATATAAATTTCATCATTTGGTACAGATAAATTAAAAATAACTGGTTTTAAAATTTCATGAACAAAGAAATTGCATCTAAAATTGCGATTTCCGGAATTTTAACCTTGAATCAACACAATTTTATATCATGATGGCAAAGAGAGAGCAAAAATGTCAATAATCGAAGATAATGCAAAAGAATCTCAAACAATACTGACCTTGAAAGCGCCCCATTGCTCCTGGACTAGGTCGAAAAAAGACACTGCCTGACTGATGCCAACCACACAAAGTGCCACAAATATCAGGAACTTCATATTTCTGTAAAATATCAATGCATAAGTTAGTAATATAATTAACTGCTTTTTGATGGAAAAAAGTAGGGTGGTTAGTTTGAAATTAACAATTTCTGACCAATCTAATAATATTAAAATGAAAAAAAGCATAATCACCTTATTAAAATTTGTTCGAATGCTCTTTTCCCACTCACACCAAAACTTGAAGTGAGTAGAAAATTTTAATGAGTCAATTTGTTTTGTACATAAAAGTCAGCTGACCAGGAAGTACTCCTACCAACAAGACCAGTGACATGACCACTGACACTGTAATACTGTGTAGTACTGTAAATTTTAAACTATAATGAAAACATATAACTATAACTATCATGACAGTATTTTATAAACAACACTAAAATACCTTAGAAAATAAATATTATTGTTATGAGCTATTTGTTGGTTGAGAATTGGAGAATTTTATGTTTGTTATCAAATAGATGAATTAATTGATTTATATGTACCATTAAATTGTCTCCTGCCTCTTCTGTCATCAAACCTTTTTTTTGCAGATGCTTAACCAGATCTTTCAAAGACATAATTCTTTTCTGAAGATATCGATTTTTATTCTGCAAACGCTTGATTTTCCTGCTTTTCTTATCACATTCTGACTTCACTAGAAACAGAGTTCTTTTAATTCTTTGAGGAGTTGCAAAATCTGATGGAGATATTTCATTCACATAGGTTCAGGAAATCGACTCTTTTTGGGAGTTACAGCTAAAATAAAAAACAAAAATTAAATTTTAAAATTCATGTCAAAACTCTCAATTTTTACCATTGACATGAGAGCATCTTGGAGAAGTATTTCTACAGGTCTGACTAGTAGATTCAGGTTGACGCTGTGGACATATTGAACTGGTTCCATAGGATGTGGCACCAACACTGAAGGTACTGCATTTGATTTTAAAAACAAACTTCGACCTCCTTTTTCTTTTGCTTTAGGATCAATGTAATCTTCACTGGTGAAATGTGCAGAACATATACGCAAGTGAGGATACTCATCTACCATTCCTTCCAAACCACAAATTTTGATCCATAAGAAACGTGTTTCTTCTTTCGCTGGTAAACTGAAAAATAATAATTAATATTAAGGAATGTCTCCAAATTGGAATTTGTAATCATACCTATGCAAGGAACGCTGCTGAATTTTTGGGGGGTCATGAACTCGTTTAGATGGTCTAAAACCGCACAAAAAACACACTTTACCCATTTTCACAAATGAATTACAAAAATTTTGCCGCTAAAGATTACAACTACGACCACGCTTCGATAAGAAATGTTATGTCTTCTTCTTATTCTATGGGTTATGTCGGTATGATCCACGTATGATCTGTTGATCAACCCTGTATGATCGCTGGTCGGTAATGTATATGTAGATTTGAATTTTCATATTTTCGGTCATAATATCCGTATTTGGCAAAGTGAAATCATTGTTCAATAATGGCTAATTAGTTAATAAATTAAGTCAAGTTTTTTGTAGCAACATTTATTTTAATTGTTAACAAACAAAAATGTAGATGAAACGAAAAAAATCAAAATTTAAACAAATCTAGGGTGTTCACTGTCTTACTATTGGTACTGAAATTTTTATTTAATTTAGTTATACATTAAATTTATACTGTTTGGTAGTAATAAACCATTGCTTATTAAATTTCACGTTATTTAATGAAGTGTTAAATCTTATTATTGTTTTTTTAAATAACATTGTTCATAACCAGTGTCGCCAACACTCCACAGTTGTGAAAACATGGCGGAACAATTTGACGTTTCTGCTGAAAGGCGTAAAGTTTTGGAAGAAAATGCTAAAAGAAGAACTGTTCTTCGCAACTTCTTTTTGAAACAAGTTTCGGACCCATTCAGACATGCATCGGGTGAAGGGGGCACTGTGGTAAGTCCAACTTCACTTGAATTTGATTGTTATGTCATACCTAACCTAAAAATAAATTGTCTGGTTTTTGATAAAAACACAATTTTAGGTCATAATTATGGGTAATAAAGTGGTGTTTTTTTAATGAACTTGCAAGAGTGGTTTTTGTAAAGAGGTGACTAGTGAGAATTGCAGTAATTGTGTAATTTTGATTTTTAGGTTAGGTATTGTATTTGTAAAACTGGATTTAAAAAGAGTAAGACTAGAGTGAGTCATTTTGGTTTTTATTCAACTTAAATGAACTTGCTATTATAAACCATAACTTGGAAAAAAAATCAACTGCTTTATAAAATTGGGAGTGTTGCAGAAGTTGCAATACCACAATTATTACCATGATTACGTACAAGCCTATAGTAGCCTTCTTCTCCCCATTTGCTCCCCCAGGAATTTTTAATAATCCAAAAATCATTTTCATCTTTCGTTCCATAACCAACCACAAGAACCCCATGATTTAAATCTGGAACTTTATTATTGCACTTTTCGTCCAATAAAATTCCCCCACTATAAAATTGAAGTTCTTCGGTTGCTTCAACAGTGGCGGCAACGGGCCCCATCATAGCTATAGTATTCTGCAAGGATATTTCGTCGTTGGCGTCAATATCGTAATACCCTGTGACGGTTGTAACTGATTTTGAAGCGTCAAATCTACAAACATTTGATTTCCCTTCGTATGGGTAATCATTCTCCGACATTATTCCTTGTTGACTGACGTAAGAATAAGCATTTGTCGCAAAACCCCCATTGCAACCATTGTTGCCGAAGTCTGCGGAACAGTCGATTAGGTTTTGCTCACTCAGGGAAGTTAATTGGTTTGTTTTGAGTGCCAGTTGCCCTTCAACAGCCCCAATCTTCGACAAAAAAAGTAATTTAAACATTAGGATTTTAAAAATAATCTTACAGCACTGAAACTCCACGATGAACTGCAAGCTGCTTCATTTTTAACTTCGCTAACTAATCCGTTCGATCTCCAATCGACTTGACTTTCATATTGTTCGATTTTTGTGCTGTTAATTTTTTTGAGGTTTTGGTAGTTTTTTTCTTGCTTTGTTAATTTGTTACGATTGATAAAAGCAAGAAATTCGTCTGTTGTCAAATCGCTAAATTTGTTCATGGCTTTGAAATAAGTGACTTCTCCGTTTTTGAATCTCGTATTGTGTGCTTCAATTTTGGATAAGTTTTCCCTAAATATTGCCAGTCGTTTCACTTCCTCTGTTTTAGTAGAATATTCTTTATTGTGAGTTTGCTGAAATGAAATGTTACCACGGGAAATTTTTTGTAACACTACTTACTTTGAATTTTGACCAAGTTTGGTCATTTATTGTTCTTTGGGGTGATGCCAGTGTGGCACTTACGGTTATTAAAATGATAACAAATGTCTCCATTATAGATTACCAGGGGATCAGAACTGTCGAGAATGTATGGATTAACTTACAACAGAGTGGTTTTTAAGTAATGTGCTATCGGTTGTAAATCTTATTTATCTTGAATTTTCAGAATATTGCCAAACTCTTATTTTGACATGTGTTCCTAATTATTTGTATGATCTCAATATTTTTTTGTTTTACAGTTTCTTTCTGTTCTCATTTAAACAATAAATTTGTTAATTATTGAATAAATGATTAACATAAGTTTACTACATGAATCTTCATAAACAAACAATGTTATTTTTTTAATATGTAATATCTTGGAAGTAATATTAATGTAAAATATGAAATTTATTTCTTTTTGGAAAGCAAGTTATTTTAAAAATGTTAATTATTAAGTCTATTCAAAGGGGTTATTTTCTTGTTGATTCTACAGTTTCTTATTTTTTTAATACAAACAGTGTGTCTCCGGACAGGTGAAACAACTCTTTTAAAAGATACAAATTTTTTGATTTGATTAAAGATTAATTTCTAACATAATTTTAATTTTCAAAAATTAAGTATGCTTTGGAAATTTTCAATAAAACTATTTTTTATAGAGTAAAGTGTCTTATGTGGCAAATACTACGAAGAGTTATTAAGAAAAGTTGTTTAGAATCAACATTTGGGTCTCTATACCAAATTTCAAAATTATCGGTCAATTCTGATTTTTTATTTTTATTTTTCAAGGTAATTGCTTTTTATAAATTAACATAAACGTTAAAAATGGATTTAGTACTAATAATCAAAATGTAATTTTTATTAAAAAGCTGTTAAAAATAAAATTCTTTCATTTGTGAATTAATAGAACTTAAAAAAAAATTATGCACAGTAGTTTTCAAAATTTTGCAAAAATAAAAGTGAGTAACTTGGCAACTCTGCAATCAAAATCTGAAAAGAAAACATAGTTTTGTGCATACAGTAAGAAGAATATGAAACAAAATTTGTAGTTTGTCATTTGAGGAAAAAATTGAAATTAAATATGCAGCTTTTTTATAGTCGAAAATAATTGTTGGTATATATAAAACAAATATACTTTTGTATTTTCAATAATAATTCTTAATTAAAATCAAAAAGTAAAATTTAATGATGCCTTCTGTTTTTTTGGTGGCAGGTAATGGAATATTCAATTTTAAGACAAAAGTTTCCTATGAACACGTAACATGTATGTATGTATGTATGTATGTATGTATGAAAAATACTACTCGTATAGGGGAGCTACACTCTGAAAGGGTTTTTAATGGGGTTCTTCCAATATTTTAGAATCCATTGTAGATAAAACTACTACATTTGATACTTGGTACACTTGATAATCTTAATACATCTATACGAATTCAAAGATCACTAAGATCAGATGTCGAAATTTGTAATAAGAAGCATCCTAAGTTGGAGGGGCATAGGGTAAAAAGAATTTAATTTTAAATTTTAATGCTCTTTATGGTCTGTAACATAAATTTTACTGAAAAAACAACGCAAGAGACCGTTTTTTGTGAGAAACTACGGAATTTAGGATTTTGTAGCTAAAACTATACCCAAAATAGTTAGGGCACTATAATACTCTTGGGATAGTCTGTATGTCATTTTTTCTTCATTAGGCCCAAATTTAAGCATTTCGTGAAATGTACAAATGCTTGAAATTTTTAATTAAAATGTTTTTATTGAAAGTGTTTCAAATGAGATCTAAGATATTTTATATGCTGTAAAATTGGGAGAAGGTTAGTAGCGAAATTTTAATATTTATGCTCATTTACTTTATGATTTATTTTTATTTTACATCGTTTTTTTAATTAAATGTTTGGTTAAACATTCTCAAATGAGTGACAGGAGATTTAAGTAAATGTTAATATTTTCTGTTTCTAGATTTTATTTCTTGTCGGTATAATTTTAGAATCAGAGTACAGTTTCACTAGAAATTAGTTGGAACTACACTATCTGCATACTCCTGTTTTTTAAATGACAAAAATTATTGCATCGGTTTGTGTTTGAACACTCGTTAACTTGGCTTTTTTCAAATAAGGGGAAAAATTTGGTTTGGGCAATTGAAAAACTCAAGTTGGATTTAATTTAATGTATTAACTATGAGTTGTGGAAGTAATTGTTTACAAAGCCGGGTATGAGGCTTCACTAGCAACACCACAAAGGCTTCCCCCCAGCCGTTTCCCCAGGAATTCTTGATGATCCAGTAATCAAAATCGTCTTCAGAACCATAACCAACAACCAATACACCATGATTCAATTCTTTTGGATCACAGTAGGGATCATAGAATAGCCCTCCCGAGTAGAGTTGGAGTGCCTCTGTGGCGTCGATACCTACAGCGATTGGACCATTGTTGGCAAGGGCATTCTTGAGGGCATTTTCATCTCCAGAGGGGAGGTCATAGTAACCCGAAAGAGTGGTGACGGATTGTGAATCGTTAAATCTGCAGTTGCCGTCCATGCCGGTGTAGGGATAGGCTTCTTCAGACATAATACCATTGTCGTGGATGTAATCGAAGGCGCTATCCATCAAACCACCGTTGCAACCAGCATTTCCGTATTCTGACGAACAATCGACCAAGTTTTGTTCACTGAGGGAGACCAAACCTCTGCCTGAGATGGCGAGTTGGCCTTCAACAGCTCCAGTCTAATGGATAAATTATCAGAATTTGAAACAAATGGTTTTGTTTTATTACTGACAGCACTAAAACTCCAGCAGGAACCACAATATGCTTGGTCTTTCTTTGACTTCGCTCACAGCAGAGTTTCTCCAGTCAATTTCAGTAGCGGCGGGTTTATCAGATTTGACGAAAGGAAGACGAAGTTTTTCGTTCTTCTTTGGCATTGTAGCAAGACCACGGTTGACATATGCTCTGAATTCTTCTTTTGTCATGTCAGCGAATTGGTTAATGGCTTTGGTGTAGGTAACTTCTCCCTTGGCGTATTTGGCATTGTGTTCTTTAATTTCGGCCAAGTTGTCTTGGAAGATAGCTTTGCGTTTGAGTTCTTCAATTGGGGAACTGTATTGCTTCTTGTGGTTCAACTGTAGAGTAACATTACTATTAGATTAAAAATCTATCAAGTGTAATGTGACTTACTTTGAATTCGATCCATTTTTGGTGGACTGGTGATTGGGGCACTGTCAAAGCAACGGTTTATAAAGCAAATAAAACTAATACCTTCATGTTTATTAGTTATGAGTTCATCTAAAGCCGGTAGTGCAATTTATAGTAAATTTTAACTGATAACTAAATTATAAATATAATTATGGGAAATTTGCACGCATTGTGTGTGTATTTTGTATCAATACTTATTTAAATTGAAGCACCACTTGACTTTACTGGAATCTAGGTTGTAATGGAATCTATGATAAGCAAGCATCGAAAGTTTTAAGTGTACTATACATGCTAAAATCTCTGTTTAGAGAAAATTGTCATTAAAATATTTGTTATCTAACAATCTTCTGATTTTGTAGCTTCTTGTTTGGTCACCTTTCTAACAAACTTGAGGTACGCACTTTGCATTAAAGATAAAATAATAAAAAAAATGATTTATTCTAAATTTTGTGTCAGTCATTTCTTTTACAATACATAATATTTTAATGATATTTACAAAGCTGGGTACGACGCGTCACTAGCAACACCACAATGGTTGTTGTAGTTTCGAACAATTCTGAAATATCCAGCTTCTCCCCAACCGCTTCCCCAGGAATTCTTAATGATCCAATAATCATAACCGCCTTCAGAACCATAACCAACAGCTAATACACCATGATTCAAGGCTTGTGGATCACAGTAGGAATCATAGAAAATACCATTGGAGTAGAATTGGAGTTCAGCAGTGGCGTCGATGGCTACAGCGACTGGACCATTGTTGGCAACAGCATTTTGGAGGTCACTTTCATCTCCAGAGGGGATGTCGTAGTAACCCTGAAGACTAGTGATGGATTGAGATGCGTCAAATCTGCAGTCTCCGTCCTCCGCGGTGTAAGGGTAGGCTTGTTCGGACATAATACCATTGTCATGGATGTAGTCGAAGGCGCTGTCCATCAAACCACCGTTACAACCAGCGTTTCCGTATTCGGTAGAACAGTCAACTAAGTTTTGTTCACTGAGAGAGACCAAACCTTTGCCAGAGATGGCGAGTTGGCCTTCAACGGCTCCAGTCTATCAGATAAATTTTCAGAAATTTATACGAATTAATTTCTTTTATTACTCACTGCACTAAAACTCCAACAGGAACCACATTGTTCTTGATCTTTGACTCCAGTAACGGCTTTGTTTCTCCAGTCAACTTCAACAGCGGCGAGTTTGTCAGATTTGACAAATGGAAGACGAAGTTTTTCGTTCATCTTTGGTCGGGTAACAAGACCACGGTTGACGTATTCCAAGAATTCTTCTTTGGTCAAGTCACCGAATTGGTTAATGGCTTTGGTGTAGTTGACTTTTCCATTAACGTATTTGGCATTATGTTCTTCAATTTTGGCCAAATTGTCTTGGAAGATAGCCATACGTTTGAGTTCTTCAGTAGGGGAGCTGTATTGTTTCTTATGGTGCAACTGTAGAATAATATTACAATTAGTTTGAAAAATCTGTCAACTCAAGAGTAACTTACTTTGAATTCGGCCCATTTTTGGTGGACCGAAAGTTGGGGCACTGCCCAAACAGTAACGACGGTTAAAAAAGCAATAACAAATGTCTTCATAGTTATTAGTTACGGGTATGTGTTAGTTTAAAGCCGATAGTGAAATTTATAGTAAAATTTAACTGATAACTTCTCCTCGTAATGAGATAAAAGATTTAATCTTTGGATTATTCACATGCTAGCTATTGACTACATTTAATTAATTGTAACTATGACAAATTGGAAATTGGACGCATTGTGTATTTTGTATCAATATGGACCTACTTAAAATTAACCATTTGACGCCACTAGAATCAGGGTTGTGCTGGGATTTCTGAATCCCAAATACTTACCAAAGTTTTTCTTGAATATCGACACATGTTTTATCAAAAGTTTTCTTCCAAATCCTTCAATTTGTTATCTTTTGTTTGTTTTTGTTAAGTAATTGTAATTACAACTAGAATTATTGTTACTAACGCATTATTATTTTTTGTTGTGTTTTTTATTAAAAATTTTTAGTCTTTTGAGTTGTTCTAGCTTTTTAACCATTGTTTTTTAAAATGTTATTGAGTAATTGAAAAAACTTGAGTTGAACTTAATATAATTTATTAATTAATAAGGAATAATTATTATTTACAAAACCGGGTAAGAGGCTTGACTTGCAACACCGCAATGGTTGAAGTAGTTACGGACAAGTTTGAAATACCCTGCTTCCCCCCAACTGCTTCCCCAGGAATTCTTAATGATCCAGTAATCATAACCGTCTTCATGACCATAACCAACAGCTAATACACCATGATTCAAGCTCGTAGAGTCGCAGGTTTCGTCTTGGAAGATACCTCCAGAGTAAAATTGGAGTCCTTCGGTGGCATCGATGGCTACAGCGATTGGACCATAATTGGCAACAGCGGTTTGGAGAGATACTTCATCTTCAGGGGGGAGATCGTAGTAAGCCGAAATACTGGTGACGGATTGAGAAGCGTCATATCTGCAGGTGCCATCCTTGGCGGTGTAGGGGTAGGCTGATTCGGACATGATTCCAAAGTCTTGGATGTATTCGAAGGCGCTGTCCATCAAACCACCGTCGCAACCAGCATTTCCGTATTTTGATGAACAGTCCATCAAGTTTTGTTCACTGAGGGAGATCAAACCTTTGCCTTCGACGGCGAGTTGGCCTTCAAGAGCTCCAGTCTAATTCATAAATCATCAGAATTTGAAACAAATGGTTTTGTTTTATTACTCACAGCACTGAAACTCCAGCAGGAACCACATTGTCCTTGGTTTTTGACTTCGGTGACAGCAGAGTCTCTCCAATCGACTTCAGCAGCGGCGGGTTTGTCAGATTTGACGAAAGGAAGACGAAGTTTTTCGTTCTTCGTGGGTTTGGTGGCAAGACCACGGTTGACATATGTCATGAATTCTTCTTTGGTCATGTCAGCGAATTGGTTGATGGCTTTGGTGTAGGTGACTTGTCCTTTAGCGTATTTGGCATTGTGTTCTTCAATTTGGGCCAAGTTGTCTTGAAAGATAGCTTTGCGTTTGAGTTCTTCAATTGGGGAGCTGTATTGTTTCTTATGGGTCAGCTGTAAAAGTAATTATTAATTTATCGCAATTGGTTTAATTTTTTTCGTTATTACCTTGAATTCAGCCCATTTTTGGTGCACAGCTGTTTGAGGTACTCCCAAAGCAGCAACGACAGTCAAGGCGAGAACGATGAATGTTTTCATGGTTGTTTCTTTCTGCTGGTTAACCCGGCTTATGTTGTTGTGTTGAACCGACTAAGCAATTTATACTAAAATTTGTAATTGTAATTTGTGATAAAGTTATATCTTTCATAGTCATCTCCAAAAGTGGGCATTGTTGTCTTTTGATTTTTTGATAAAGATAAACAGAATGACCTTCAAAATTGCTCACATCTTCTAGTCAAGAAAATAAGTAGTCTTTCTGGGGTGAGAAAACAACATTTTATGCTTTTAGCCGCATTTAAACGTTCTAGCTGTTTTTGAATTTTTATTTTTATGGGACTGTTATTAAAACATCATTATTGGATCTTGGCATTTGGAACACCTGTTCATTTGAAATCAGTAGTAAGTACTCAGAATTAAGCACTTCACTTTATTTTTTAATTAATCATTCAGTTAAGTAGATATTATTTGTTGATTTATAAAGTAAAATATTTATTGACGTCAGATTTTACATTTTTTGATTATATTCTACAGTTATTTTAATATTTGAGAAAAATGACTCTTTTATGACTAATTGACACAAGTAAAAGTTTTTCCTTTCAGACATGGGGTAAAAACACAGTTTTTTTCCCTAAGCGTTTTTCACTTTTATTTAACATTTACCAGTGTCGTCTCTTCCTTGTCTCTTTCGCTGCTTCAGCATTTTCTGGCGAGGTACAGTGTAGATTATTAGCATTCGACATTTTGCACTATAAACTACACTAGTTATTCACTAGTTAAATCAATCAACACTTACGAAAATCTCAACACAAATTTTGAAACTGACACGTGACGTTTGTTATGATTTTATTGCAAAGTGTCCTGATTATTGAGGTGATTTACTTGATTATTGGTGTGTTGCTCTTTTCTCTCCATCTGAACCGTTTGCAGATTAAATAGTATACCTATGTTATTTGGAGTAAAAGTGAGTTTATGTGGCTCAGCTGAATCATTTGCCTCACTCCGTGCAGCTCCGCCACATAAACAATTACTTTTACTCCTAATAACATAATACAAGGTGATTCACGAGGAATAATGAGCCTGACCAAATTCTCGATGCAACCACCATTACTTTTCGCAAGTTTTTTGCGGCAACTGTAATGTTGGTTGCATCGAGAATTTGGTCAGGCTCATTATTCCTCGTGTATCATCCTGTATACTATTTTTATTTTTCAGGGTTATTTATTAATTGATTTTTTTTCAAAATTTGGCAAAATACTTAAACATATCGTAGTGTGCTTGTCACATAAAAAGCACTTTACAGTAAAATAAGTTTTTTTTGAAAGTTTTCAAGGCAAACTTGATTTTTCAAAACTAAAATTATGTAGTAGGCACTCGAAACATCATTATGTTTTAATTTTGTAAAAAATTAATTGAATTATTAAATTATTTTACGAGTATAGAAAACTTCAGTTGAACTTAATATAATTTATTAATTAATAAGGAATAATTAATATTTACAAAGCCGGGTAAGAGGATTGACTTGCAACACCGCAATGGTTGTTGTAGTTACGAACAAGTCTGAAATATCCAGCTTCTCCCCAACTGCTTCCCCAGGAGTTCTTGATGATCCAGTAGTCAGAACCACTTTCAGAGCCATAACCCACAGCTAATACACCATGATTCAAGGCTTGAGGGTCGCAGGATCGGTCGCTGAAGACACCGCCAGAGTAAAATTGGAGTTCTTGAGTGGCATCGATGGCTACAGAGACTGGACCATTGTTGGCAACAGCGCTTTGGAGAGCACTTTCATCTCCATACGGGATGTCATAGTAACCTCGAAGACTGGTGACGGATTTTGAAGCGTCAAATCTGCAGGAGCCATCCATGGCAGTGTAAGGGTAAGCTTTTTCGGACATGATACCATAGTCGTGGATGTAGTCGAAGCCACTGTCCATCAAACCACCGTTGCAACCAGCATTTCCGTATTGTGACGAACAATCGACCAAGTTTTGTTCACTGAGGGAGGTCAAACCTCTGCCTGAGATGGCGAGTTGGCCTTCAACAGCTCCAGTCTAATGGATAAATTATCAGAACTTGAAACAAATGGTTTTGTTTTATTACTCACAGTACTGAAACTCCAGCAGGAACCACATTGTCCTTGGTTTTTGACTTCGGTGACAGCAGAGTTTCTCCAGTCGACTTCAGCAGCGGCGGGTTTGTCAGATTTGACGAAAGGAAGACGAAGTTTTTCGTTCTTCTTGGGTTTGGTGGCAAGACCACGGTTGACATATGTCATGAATTCTTCTTTGGTCATGTCAGCGAATTGATTGATGGCTTTGGTGTAGGTGACTTCTCCCTTGGCGTATTTGGCATTGTGTTCCTCAATTTGGGCCAAGTTGTCCTGGAAGATAGCTTTGCGTTTGAGTTCTTCAATTGGTGAGCTGTATTGTTTCTTGTGGGTCAGCTATAAAATGTAATTATTAAAATTTGTTGTACTGGTTTAATTTTTTTCGGTTTTACCTTGAATTCAGCCCATTTTTGGTGCACAGCTGTTTGAGGTACTGCCAAAGCAGCAACGACAGTCAAGGCAAATACGATGAATGTTTTCATGGTTGTTTCTTTCTGCTGGATAACCCGGCTTATGTTGGTGTAGAACCGACTAAGCAATTTATACTAAAATTTGTGATAATGATTCGTGATTGTAATTTGTGATAAAGGCAGATCTTTCATGGTCATCTCTACAAGTGTGCATTGTTGTCTTTTGATTTTTTGATAAAAATATACAGTACGATCCTAAAAATTATTTAGTCAGGAAAATGAGTAGTTTTTCTGAGGTGAGAGAAAAACATTTTATGCTTTTAGTCGCATTTAAACGTTTTAACTGTTAAATTTTTGAATTTTTATTTTTATGAGAGTGTTATTAATACATCATAATTGGATTTTGGAATTTGGAACACCTGTATATGCGAAATCAATAAGTGCACTTCACTTTATTTTTTAATAATCATTGAGTTAAGTAGGTATTATTTGTTGATTTATAAGACAAAATATTTATTGACGTCACATTTTACATATTTTGAATGAATTGTGTATAGTTTTAATTTATTTTTATAGTCCAGATTATATTCTCCAATTATTCTAATGTTTTTTCCTTTTTATTTTAATGTTTGTGCACAAAATAAATTTACTTGAAATTAACTGGCTATCACAAAATTGAGAAATTAATAGTCTTAAGGCTAGACGTTGGTCCATTTAAAATTGTCTTTCATTTTTTAAAGTTATTTATTGACAGATTTTTTTTCAAAATTGGCAATATACTTAAAAATATTTTCTTTTTATCATAGTGTGCTTGCCACATAAAAGGCACTTTACAGTAAAATAAGTTTAATTGAAAATTTTCAAGGTATACCTGATTTTTCAAAATTAAAATTATGTTAGAAATTAGTCTTTAACCAAGCAGCACTAAACCCCATAAAATAAAATTTAAATCGAGATTTTTTGACTTTTAGTTGAGTTGTTTCACTTATCCCGAGACACTGTAGCTCCTCATTCTCGTAGTGGGCACTCGAAACATCATTATTTTATTCTGTAAAAATGACTATTTAATAACTTGCCATTTGTTTTTTTCTTATAAGTCTCTTGTAATTGTTACAGATTTTGTGGTTGTTTAATTCTTAATTTTAATTCTGCCAACTTAATGTTAATTATGTTTTAACGTTATACAAATGTCTTAAAAACAACTAAATGATTATTTATTCTTACATCTGTTTAATATCTAGTAGTATTGTACTCGTAGTAAAAGGGATTTTTTAAAATTATATAACTGTCCTATTTTCCTTTTTTCGTAAACCTTATTGGTTGGACCTGAAGTAAAGTTCTTGTGATAAAATCAGTTTTACTATAACGTTTTAAAGGAAGCAGTACTTGATTTTAAGTTGATATTGTATTATCTTTTTTATTCGAAGGAAACAACTTCATTATCTTTGATCTTTGATAGTAGATATTATTTTTTTAGTTGGAAAATTTTTATTTTAATTAACAAAATTAACCGTATTCAAGTCTTTTATTTATTATTGTTTTTTTATATGCTCAAAAAATAGTAATTGTTATTTTTTATTAATTTTTTTATTAATCTTTCTAGCTTTTGAAAAACTTTTACAATTGTATTAAGTGCCGTATCCAATCTTTAATTTTGTGAGGGGGTGTTTGCGGGTTAACCTAGAGACTGTGAATATGTAGTAAAAATGTATAATTGTAGTTTTTTTTTGGCTTAATTATTTTATTTACAGAAAAAAAAACAAACACCAAATACTTTACCAAAATCTTTTTTTTTTCTTTATGATATAAGAACTTTTTCCGCTAAAGCAGATCGCCAAAATTTATAAAGAAGTCACATCTTATCAAAATTTATAAGTACTTGTAGGTCCAAATTTCTTTACTTTGAACAAATAAGAATGTTAACAAAATGGGTTACATTTTTTTGATCTGTTATTTTGTTTGAAGTGGGTTTTTTCAGTTTTCAGTACTTTTTGGACGTAATATTATAATAATTATCGAATTACAGTATTTACAGATTTCTTTTTAAGTATAGCGTCACCTTTTAATAAAATGAAGCTTCGATAACTAAATAAACAATAAGAAACGCTAATCGATATTGTTTATATTTTTTGAAAAATTAGTAATTAATTTTGAATAATATGCTTATAATAACTAATTAAAATGAATTAGAAGAATAAATTTTTGTATGCTTTTATTATTTACAAAATATAAAAGCCATTTTCACCTCATTCGACACCCCAGGAATTTTTAACGATCCAATAGTCATATTGCAATTCTTTTCCGTAACCAACAATAATAACTCCGTGATTCAAATCGGTCAAATTAATATTATACTCTTTTTCATATTAATGTGCATCAAGTAGGTTGTAGCAGTCTAAATGAATCTTTAACTTAAAGGCTGATTTACACAAAAAGTGTCATTAATATGTCATTTAGAACAAATTTAAGCATATTAATAATGACAAAAATCTTTATGTTTGCTACCTTATGTTAATTACATTGTTAATTTTAATTAATTTTTGCTACCTCTAGGGCACACATTTATTTGAAAAAATAATTGTTGGGGAAATTTGAGGTTAGGATTGTTTGGTTTTTTGCATGATTGCCACCTTAAAACGATCCCTTTCAACTACTACTTCGATGCACATTAATACGAAAACGAGTATACACGTGTCGTCAAAAAAGATTCCTCCGTAGTAAAATTGCAATTCGGCTGTTGCATGAATCGCTGCAGCAACAGGACCAGTTGCAACAGCATTTGCAAATCCCATTTCGCTCATCGAATCGACATCTCGATATCCTGCAATTTTTGTAACTATCTGAGAAGAATCGAATCTACAAATTCCGAGTTTCTCCTCATAGGGATAATCACTCTCTGACACGATCCCGTTTTCCTGAATGTAATCAAAAGCGCTGTCTATTAAACCACCATCACAACCGTTAGGTTTTGATTACTGAGAGGTGTTAATTGTCCAGTTTTGATCGCTAAATGACTTTCAACAGCTCCTGACTAAAACTTTATTTTATTAATTGGGAAATGAATTTGTTATACGATACTTACTGCACTGAAACTCCAAGACGATCCTCTTTTTCCTTCATTTTTTACATCACTTACTACGTTTTTGGTCCTCCAGTCAACTTCCTCTTCGTTGGTTGTAGTGTTTACATGGTTCTTGCGAAATTGTGTGTTTTTTCAATTTATTACGATTTATGTATGCTAGGAATTTATCCGTCACCAAATTTGTTCATTGCTTTGGAATAAAGCACTTCACCATTTGCATATTTAATATTGTGTGCCTCAATTTGGGTTAAATTTTTCATGAAGATGATAAAACGGTGGACTTCTTCGTGCACAGAAGAATAATTTTTCTTGTGTCACCTGATGGTTTATTATACTATACTTTCAGATTAGTTTAAGATATTTTATTTTTGGGTAAAAGTAAAATTGTACTCTTATTTAAATTGTTTTTGTGATAAATTGATGTTGCAATTTTTAAATGAAAGTTAATAGGTATAACCTATGAATACGCAAAAATACAAGGTGATTCACGGGGAATAATGAGCCTGACCAAATTCTCAATGCAACCACCATTACTTTTCGCAAGTTATTTTGCGACAACTGTAATGTTGGTTGCATTGAGAATTTGGTCAGGCTCATTATTCCTCGTGAATGACCGACCCTGTATATCATTAAATGATAATTATTTGTATAACGAAGCACTAAAGTTACATTTTTTAACACGTTTCAAATGACATATGAATGCGGACCATTTTGTTTCAGAAAAAAATCTATTTTGTGTTCAGACTAATATTAATGTGTTTTAAAAATAGTAGCTTTGTATATGTTTACCGAATTACTCAGAATATAATCTCATTTACAAAATACTGCTTCCGAATTCAAAATGTTAGAGGAATACAATTTTGCAAATATGTATAATAGTTTTAACTTTTCTCTGTAATAGTCTTTTTTGCCTTAAATTATATGTATGAAAAAAACTAATTGAAGAACAATAAAGTATTATAAAAATGTAATTCTTTTGTAAGAAATTTTTGTTTTTTTTAAACCACACAAAATTCATTAATTTCTTTATGAAATTTGTTGAGAAAGACTATGATTTTAGGATTACAACTATCACAATTTTGGTTCACATTTTTTTAATGATTTTAAAACACAAATTTGCCTAACTTACGAAGAAAACAAAAGTTTGTTCTCAAAATGTGATCAAATGTTTTATAGCCTTTTGTCTTTTACCAATTAGTTTTTTTTTCTAAAATTAAATGGTTAAAGTGTTTTGCTTTGTTCACCCTGTAGCGTTTTTAAAAATCTATTAAAAAAGTTTATTATTTTTTTAAACAAGAGCACAATTTGCTTTCATTTTACTTACCTTAAAATCGAGCCATTTTTCGTGGATAACACTTTGGGGAATCGCTAAAGTGGTGGTGACGATTAAAACAAAAACTAATAGAATTTGCATCTTCGCGTTGTAAGGTGTTACCTGGCAATGACAGGCATTTTTGGATTGTTTTGACACGTTTTGACTTATCTTAAGTATCGATTTATCAATTTATTTTATTTTTACTTGTAGGTAACATAGATACAAAAGATGTAGCGCCACGATTTATTTCAATTGTAATAATATTTTAAAGCACAGGATATGAGGGATGTGAGGTGATTCCACAGTTATTATCAGTGTTTCTAGCCAATTTGATATAACCTTCTTCACCCCAATTTACTCCCCAGGAGTTCTTAATTAACCAATAGTCGGCGCCATCTAGGGTTCCGTACCCAACAACCAGGACCACATGATTTGGTACTGATGTACAATCTTGACTTTTAAGAATTCCTCCAGTATAAAACGCCCAAGAAGTAGCATCAACTTCCACAGAGATGGGACCAATAGTAGCAACAGCTTCTTTAAGGGCTTCTTCATCTCCAGAGATGAAAACATAGTCAGATATTTCCACAGTTGATGGTACGGATCCTCGTCGACAAGTTCCATTTGTGACATCAGAAGGATAATCTTTAGCTGCCGCAATTCCATTTTCTTTCACATATTCATAGCCAGCTTCGACACTGCCTCCAGTACATCCGCCACTTACACAGTCTGCCAATTCTTGGTCACTGAGTGCGACAAGTTTCCCATTTGTTAAAAAGTTTTGGCCTTCGAGTGATCCAACCTGAAATTATTCACATCAAATTTTTCTTACAAGTTGAATAGTTTACTTACCACGCCGAATGCCCAACTTGCACATGTATTTTCATTTTTGACCGGAGTTACAGCTCCTTTTTCTCTCCAATCGATTTGTTCCGGAACGTTAGAACCAGATGGACGTCTATATTTAGTTGTGACGACTTTACGGGTGTTTAGGTTTTGCAAAAATTCTTTACTGGTCATGTCAGTGAATTGGTTTATTGACATTTTATAGGTAACTTTGTTTTCCTCGAATAGTTTGTTGTGTTTTTCAATTTTTCGTACGTTTTCTTGGAAAATCTCCATTCGTTTCATGTCTTCGTGTTTGGTGTATGTTTTTTGATACACTTTCTGGAAAATATGTTTTAAAAATGGATTCAAAACTGAATTTTTTATAGTTACTTTGAAGTTGTTCCATTTTAGCTGAATTTCCCTGTTGGAAGAGAAGGCCAAAACGGTCGTAATGAAAGCTAAAATTAGAAAATACTTCATATTTGGAGATGTGTCGTTTATTGTACAAGTACAAGATATTATGGAATCACGTTTTGAGTTATCTTGTTCGTTGAAAAACACGAATTGAGCCTTTTTATTTAAAAAGGTATATATTTTATATCACATTAACGGAAATAACATTTATCTTGTCAACCTAATTTTAGATTTCAAGTATTAGATTAGGTAAACTTGTGCAACAAATACGTAGAAATTTTGAATATCCGGTTGGCGACATCTTGAAAAAATTAATGTCTAACTAACAGCTTGCTCTTAGACGAATTAATCACCCGCTTCATTGATAAAATAAAGACAGAAAATGACATACAATTTGGAATTTTGGAATTTGAAATGAATCTTTGTCCCAAGTTATGAAAACGTGATTTAATTCACGTATTTGATTTTAGGGATAATTGAAAACGATCCATAATTTGAAATTTAGTATGTCGTATTGCAAACTTTGTATTTGCTTTATGACAATTTGGTTATTTGTGAATAATTATTGATTTTTTTTGGTTTTTGTGATTTTCTCATAATAAAATTTTAACTATTTCATTTAAATATAAGTAATTACAAAATAAAGTACATACAAATAGGCATATAAAAAATAAATAAAGCTTTTTTTTCAATTGTAAAATAAATTTAATTTAAATAAAATTAATTATTAAAATAAATTTCCCCACAACAACAAAAAATTGGTTCCTTCTATTTTGCTTTTCAACAACTCGTTTAGGTTCCCTAAATTGTGTAGTATGTTATTCAATAAGCATAGTGCACTATGTGCGGAATGAATATTATGCTTTATCTACGAATATGAATTATTTTCGATTTTTGGTATTGACAAAGTTAACTCTCTAATTTAATTAATGAAAATGTCAAATTGAGTTCAAACAGAAGATCATATAGGGAAGGATTGTTAAAATAACTAAGTATTTTTAAATGGAAGATTTCAAATTGCCGTTTTTTTAAAAAAATAGAAATTTTTTTAAAAAGTTATAGAAAAAATTACAATAATTGCTCGTTTTCTGAGAAAACAGTAATAATTTGAACAAATGTGGCAAGGGTATTTTCCCTCCCATCATTCAATCAGTTAATGAAAACGCAAAAATTTCACTTCCAGAATACAGTTATTAATGATTCTGTTTATACTGCGATAAACAAAAACTTTCCAGAAGTTGATGAAAAATGAGTTGGAATTTGCTATGTCCAGAAAGAAGTGTTTCGTGGAGGTACATTCAGCAGAAACTCCTGCCGTCTACTACTTGCTAAAACTGATGTTTTACGTTCAATTTGTCCTATAACTCTTTGAAATGTGTTCAGTGTTAAAGTAGGTACTTTTGAATGAATTGGAAGTCGTGTTTTAATAACAATTTATTGCTGACAAAGTTTGGAAACGTTATTCAACAATTTATTCAATTAGATATAACTCCAAAAATTTATGCTGTATTTTATCATATTGAACAATTTTGCAGATATGAGGGTAGTGAATTAGGAAATTCAGCGAACAAGCTTCAGAAGCTAAATATGTGACTCTTTCAAAAAAATGTCGGTTTGTTTGGTAGAGTTGCAAGGAGTAATCTAAAACTGAATTAGATTTGTACACTTTTTTAAGTTATTGAATCTCTTGTTATATTTGAATATTATATACTATTCTATTATTATTATTTTTCCTTTTTTTAATTGTAATTTGTGTAATCAACCAATGTGTTTAGAAAAGAATATCTACGGATCGAACACACTTTAACATGAGGATTCATAGTTTCTCGCTACTTTATCTAATAAGTAATACTTAGAAATGAGTTACATAATATCCGTTTCTGTTAATCTGTTGTCAGACTAGAGTATTTTTTTCTATCTTTGTTTTTACTTTTAGTTTTCAAAGTTTCTTTTTTTTTCAAATGATATTGTTACGTACATGGGCCTCAAGTAGGTAAGTAAGTATCTCACTTTTGATTTAAAGACTATTACTTATCTGTTTCTATATTACTTAGTTTTGGGTATGTTTCTGTGAAAATTATTATTCTGGATTATTATTTATTATTTGATTCTTTTACTACATTTTTTTATAATTGAAATAATTACATCAACGATTTACAAAGCTGGATATGAAGCAGCTGTAGCAATACCACAGTTGTTGTTGCGGTTACGAGCTTGTTTCCAGTATCCTTGTTCTCCCCATCCACTTCCCCAGGAGTTCTTGACGATCCAGTAGTCGGAACCGCTTTCCGAACCGTATCCAACAACCAAGACACCGTGATTCAAGGCTTCGGGAGAGCAAGTGGTGTCGTACAAAACACCTCCGGAGTAGAACTGGAGTTCGTCAGTGGCATCGAGGGCTACAGCGATTGGACCATTGTTGGCAACAGCGTCTTGGAGGGCACTTTCATCTCCAGAGGGGAGGTCGTAGTAACCAGAAAGACTGGTGACGGATTTTGAAGCGTCAAATCTGCAGGAGCCATCCGAGGCGGTGTAGGGGTATGCTGATTCAGACATGATACCATTGTCGTGGATGTAGTCGAAGCCACTGTCCATCCATCCACCATTGCATCCCGCGTTTCCGTATCCGGAAGAACAGTCTACCAAGTTTTGTTCACTAAGGGAGGTCATACCTCTGCCTGAGATGGCGAGTTGTCCTTCAACGGCTCCAGTCTATTGTATACTCATCAGAAATTGAAACAAATGGTTTTGTTTTATTACTCACAGTACTGAAACTCCAGCAGGAACCACATTGTCCTTGGTTTTTGACTTCGGTGACGGCAGAGTTCCTCCAGTCGACTTCAGCAGCGGCGGGTTTGCCAGATTTGACGTAAGGAAGACGAAGTTTTTCGTTCAACTTTGGTCGGGTGGCAATACCACGGTTGACATATTCCAAGAATTCTTCTTTGGTCAAGTCACCGAATTGGTTGATGGCTTTGGTGTAGGTGACTTCTCCTTTAGCGTATTTGGCATTGTGTTCTTCAATTTTAGCCAAGTTGTCTTGGAAGATAGCCTGGCGTTTGAGTTCTTCAATTGGGGAACTGTATTGTTTCTTGTGGGTCAGCTATAGAGAAATTTTTGATTTAGTTTTAATTATTTGACAATTTTGATTACTTACTTTGAATTCAGCCCATTTTGCATGGACTGGAGATTGAGGTACTGCCAAAGTGGCAACAACGGCCAAAGCAAGAACGATGAAAGTCTTCATGGTTACTACTGTGCGTTTGGATTATGTTTTACAACGAAAATGTTGGCAAATTTATACCTGTTTTTTTCAAGTTTTTTAGGTGGTGGTAACTTATCTTATTTTCGTCTGTATTGTTTAAAGTGGGTTTTAAAAGATTAAAATCTTTTTTCGAACTTTGATTTTTATTAGCTCCAATAAAATTTATTATTAAACACATCAGCTATTTTTTACTCTTATTATTTCAGTTTATTATTATTAAATGAATTTGGGACTTTGTATGGTTTCAGAAAAAGAAATAAATAAGTTGTGGCTTATTATTGTATTTCTTCAGTAACGTTCATGAAGGTGGACCAAATAAAATAAAGTTTTTTAATTAATATTTGTATTTTTATACAATACAGACACGAAAAAAGATGAAACAATTTATAATAATTATTATTGTTGCTTTACATACATTAAAAATAGTTCAAATAGAAATCATTCATATTTATAACTTTTTACAAATTAAGTACAGTTTTTTCCATGGTAGCAGACAAAGGCAAACTTCAGTGTTTCCTTTCATTTATACAACTTGATATTGATCTACATAAGTTCAATTCTTAGCTTGTTTTTAACTTTATAAAATATAATTTAATTTTTTAAGATTTTCAAAATCGCAAAGACTATATTAGATTGCTTAAGGTAACTTGAATTATCAAGATTTGATGTTATCTGTGAACATCTAATAAACTGTTAAATAATAATAAATTTAAAATATCTATTTTGAATGCTTTATTCAAAATACATATATTTCAAGATATTCATTGAGTCAAGCATGGAATTTAAATATTAAAGATGCAGTTTTTACCTTATAGTTCCCCTCTTTTTTATAATTCTTTTCTTTTATATGTTTCTCTTCTTTTGGATATCTCGTAATTGGTAGTGCGAATTTAAATTTACTTATTTTTCTTTTTGCTTATCTATTTTTTTTATTTTTCTTTTGCAAACCTATAAAAATGAGCGATACAGTTTAAACTTGAATTTTTTTGCTTTTTCATTTTTGAATTTGTAGCTTTTTTGTGTGTTTACAAAAATTGCCTTTTGAAGTAATGATTGCAAGGTAGTTAATGCTTTTGCTGTAAACAATGACGAAATTTGATTAATTATAATGTAACTAAAGCCATTGGAAAAGCTACTAGTTTGCGACAGAAGGAACCTATGAAATCTGGTTTAAAACTTGGCTGAAATAAACATGTTTTGTGAGTTTCATATTTATGAGTACTTAACTTTTAAATATTCCTAATTACTTTACAATAAATAAGAGTATTTTTTGTTAATATGTATATTTAGAATACCATAAAAGAGTCAGTATCTATACTCAGATACAGTTAGGTCATTATTTTTGTCATTTGTTTATGGTTTTATATAAAATGTTTCTTTATTCGCAAACGTCACAAAAGTGATCTTTTCATGACTAAATGGCACACGTAAAAGTTTTACCTTTCAGGCAGTGAGTAAAAACTTTGTTTTTTCGCTTAAGCATTTTTACTTTTACCATTAGGTACAATACCAGTGTTGTCTCTTTTGATGCTTCAGCAATTTAAAACGTCATTATTCTGTCTCAGTGCAAAGAAAAGTAAATTTTTTCTTGATTTTGGGTTTTTTCTCTGCTTTTTAAGTCCCACCATAATGGCGGTTTAATTTTTTTTACAGAATTGTAACTTTGACAATTAATTAATTAATTATTACAATTGGTATTATCGACAAAACAATAACATTCTGAAAAGATTTGTTGCTCTCATTTATGAAAAATAATAAAACTTCGAAGCATGAGATATTATTTTATTAATAATTATTATAATTAAAGACAATTTTTTTTAAATTTAAATAATTAATTTTATTTATCAATAAAAGGCATAAATTATAGATTTTAAAAATATTTTATTTATTATAATCACTATAATTAATATCAGTAATGTGTATGATATCCATTGTTGGCTAAACATTCATGAAGTCGTCCATGCATACTATCCACCAAATTTTGGCAAATTTGTGAAATGGTCCCAAACGTTATTAACGTGCTGCGCCAATTTTTTTGTTTTAAATTTTGTTCGCGAACTTTGGGTTGAAAATTTCGCCAGTCGCGAACTATATTGCCCTCGAAAATTTCTATTGGATTTAGATTTTATTGTTTTGCCGCTAATACCGGTTACAATAATTAATTAATTAATTAATTGTCAAAGTTACATTTTTGTCGAAAAAATAAAACCGCCATTCTGATGAAACTTAAAAAGCAGAAGAAATCCCAAAAGCAAGAGAAAATTTACTTTTCTTTCCATTGAGACAGAATAATGACGTTTTAAAGTTACAAATTTGCTCGTTTCAGTATAACACACCGTATGACATATTTTACAGGCCCTTAATTATAATAATTATTATTAATGAAATAAAATCCCATGACAAGATTTACTTAAAAGAAATGTTGAGGCAAAATGCAAAAGCATTGTTCTTATTGCCCTCGCAGATGGTTTATACCTGCGGTTAGGTGGGAGGACCCAAATAATGAGGGTCGGTTTATGGACACGTCATTTTCAACTTTTCTGAGTGTACATTGTAAATCATCAGCCTTTTGACGTTTTTGTCCATTAGTTAAATCAATAAACACTTTCGAAAATCTCAACACAAAATCCGATACTAACTAATGTTAGTCCTGATTATTTTGTTCATTTACTTGCTAATTACAGTGTTGCTTTTTACTCTTGAACTGAATACTTAATAAAATAGTATATGTTATTTAGAGTAAAAGTGAGTTTATGTGGCTCAGCTGAATTATTTGCCTTACTGCGTTTGGCAAAAAAAAACTTTGTAGCAATTTAAATTTTTATTTTTATTTTTTTTTAAATTGAAATAAATACATCAACGATTTACAAAGCTGGATATGAAGCAGAACTAGCAATACCACAGTTGTTGTTGCGATTACGAGCTTGTTTCCAGTATCCTCGTTCTCCCCAATCACTTCCCCAAGAGTTCTTGACGATCCAGTAGTCGGAACCACTTTCTGAACCGTATCCAACAACCAAGACACCATGGTTCAAGGCTTCGGCACTGCAAGTGGTGTCGTACAAAACACCTCCGGAGTAGAATTGGAGTTCGTCAGTGGCATCGAGGGCTACAGCGATTGGACCATGATTGGCAACAGCGTCTTGGAGGGCACTTTCATCTCCGGAGGGGAGGTCGTAGTAACCCGAAAGACCAGTGATGGATTGATAAGCGTCAAATTTGCAGGAGCCATCCATGCCGGTGTAGGGGTAGGTTGTTTCGGACATGATACCATTGTCGTGGATGTAGTCGAAGGCGCTGTCCATCAAACCACCGTTACAACCATCGTTTCCGTATTCGGAAGAACAGTCGACCAAGTTTTGTTCACTGAGAGAGGTCAAACCTATGCCTGAGATGGCGAGTTGTCCTTCAACGGCTCCAGTCTATCGTAAACTCGTCAGAATTTGAAACAAATGGTTTTGTTTTATTACTCACAGCACTGAAACTCCAGCAGGAACCACATTGTCCTTGGTTTTTGACTATTGTGACGGCAGTGTTCCTCCAGTCGACTTCAGCAGCGGCGGGTTTGCCAGATTTGACGTAAGGAAGACGAAGTTTTTCGTTCATCTTTGGTCGGGTAACAAGACCACGGTTGACGTATTCTAAGAATTCTTCTTTGGTCAAGTCACCGAATTGGTTAATGGCTTTGGTGTAGGTGACTTCTCCTTTAGCGTATTTGGCATTGTGTTCTTCAATTTTAGCCAAATTGTCTTGGAAGATAGCCTGACGTTTGACTTCTTCAATTGGGGAACTGTATTGTTTCTTGTGGGTCAGCTGTAGAGAAATTTTTGATTTAGTTTTAATTATTTGACAATTTTTATTACTTACTTTGAATTCAGCCCATTTTGCATGGACTGGAGATTGAGGTACTGCCAAAGTGGCAACAACGACCAAAGCAAGAACGATGAAAGTCTTCATGATTATGTTTTACAACGAAAATGTTGGCAAATTTATACCTGTTTTTTTCAAGTTTTTTAGGTGGTGGTAACTTATCTCATTTTCATCTGTATTGTTTGAAGTCAGTGTTAAAAGATTAGAATTTTTTCTCGAACTTTGATTTTTATTATCTCTAATAAAATTGATTATTAAATACATCAGCTATTTTTTACTCTTATTATTTCAGTTTATTATTATTGAATGAATTTGGGACTTTGTATGGTTTCAGAAAAATAAATAAATAAGGCTTATTATTTTATTTCTTCAGTAACGTTCATGAAGGTGGACCAAATAAAATGTAGCTATTTAATTAATATTTGTATTTTTATACAACACGAAGAAAGATGAAATGTATACAATTTATAATTATTATTGTTGCTTTACATACATTAAAAATTGTTCAAATAGAAATCATCATTTATTTAGAGTAAAAGTGAGTTTATGTCGCTCAGCTGAATTATTTGCCTTACTGCGTTTGGCAAAATAAACTTTTACTCCTAATAACATAATATACCTACTATCAATATAAAGGGGTTTATAAAAAAATCTCATAGATTGAATCAAATATACATTTTTAGCCTTTACGATGTTGTAGGTACTTGTGACCTTACTATTAATTTGTAATTACATACTTTTTTGGATTTCCAATAAAAATGTAGCAATTTAAATTTTAAATTTTTATTTATTTTTTTTTAATTGAAGTAAATACATCAACGATTTACAAAGCTGGATATGAAGCAGCACTAGCAATACCACAGTTGTTGTTACTATTACGAGCTTGTTTCCAATATCCTTGTTCTCCCCATCCACTGCCCCAGGAGTTCTTGACGATCCAGTAATCGGAACCGCTTTCCGAACCGTAACCAACAACCAAGACACCGTGATTCAAGGCTTCAGGAGAGCAAGTGGTGTCGTACAAAACACCTCCGGAGTAGAATTGGAGTTCGTCAGTGGCGTCGATGGCTACAGCGATTGGACCATTGTTGGCAACAGCACTTTGGAGGGCACTTTCATCTCCAGAGGGGATATCGTAATATCCCTGAAGACTGGTGACGGACTGAGAGGCGTCAAATCGGCAGGAGCCTTCTGAGGCGGTGTAAGGATAGGCATTTTCGGACATGATACCATAGTCGTGGATGTAGTCGAAGGCGCTGTCCATCCATCCACCATTGCATCCCGCGTTTCCGTATCCGGAAGAACAGTCTACCAAGTTTTGTTCACTAAGGGAGGTCATACCTCTGCCTGAGATGGCGAGTTGTCCTTCGACGGCTCCAGTCTATCGTATACTCATCAGAATTTGAAACAAATGGTTTTGGTTTTATTACTCACAGTACTGAAACTCCAGCAGGATCCGCATTGTCCTTGGTCTTTGACTTCGCTCACAGCAGAGTTTCTCCAGTCGACTTCAGCAGCGGCGGGTTTGTCAGATTTGACAAAAGGAAGACGAAGTTTTTCGTTCTTCTTTGGCCGGGTGGCAATACCACGGTTGACGTATTCCAAGAATTCTTCTTTAGTCATGTCACCGAATTGGTTAATGGCTTTGGTGTAGGTGACTTCTCCCTTGGCGTATTTGGCATTGTGTTCTTCAATTTTGGCCAAATTGTCTTGGAAGATAGCCTGGCGTTTGAGGTCTTCAATTGGAGAGCTGTATTGTTTTTGGTGGTTCAACTATATAATAATCCAATTAGTTTTAAAAATCTATCAACTGTTATGTTACTTACTTTGAATTCGGCCCATTTTTGGTGGACTGGAGATTGGGGTACTGCCAAAGTGGCAACAACGGCCAAAGCAAGAACAATGAAAGTCTTCATGATTACCCAAGGTTTTGGATTGTGCTCAGCGTTGAAAATGTGGCGGAATATATACCTGAGGTTTTTTTGTTTTGTTTGTTTTTGGAAGTGATAGGTTATCTAATTTTGATCTACATTGTGTAGAATAACTTTCGAAAAGCGATTATCTAATCTCGAACTTCAATGGTTTATTTTAGTTTCAACACAAGTAATTTTCATAAATTTTCATTTCATCTATTAGTTTTTGTGTTTTTATTTTGCTTGTTTTTTCCATTTGATTTTAGCTTGTCTATTCTTTCTTTGGGTTCAGTTACTCTTGATTAGTGAACCAACGTGTTTTATTAGCTTATATTAAATACATAATAAATGAAAATGAATAACTATAACAAATAGAAATTCTTAAAACGCATTTGAATTGAATGCACTTCAAAATTTGAAGTGTTGTCTAGAAATTTGATAAATGATGAAGCATAATCAGTGTCATTGAGTGTATAATACATGAAATGTAATAAACAAAATTTTGATTTATTTGCAAATCATTTCAATAGAGATTGTTTTTAGTTTATTCAAAAGTAAACAAATGTGATTGTTAAACTATCCTTTGTCACAATCATTGGTTATTTGTGGAACAAAGGGGTCTTCTTTATGTTAAACAGTTTAACCATTTAATAAAAAATTACATTCTGTGTATTAAACGTTGTCGCAACTTGCAATATTCTACTTTTTGCGTCATTTTAGAAGTTTTGTTTTTGATCTTGATGTCTGAGTGTCAGAAAGATAAATTCTTTTGCAAGTCATTAAGTTTTATTTATTTTATTTTAAAAACGTGTTAGGCCACTTGATACATTATCACTGGTTGATTTGATTTTTATTTTGTTAACACATTTAGCATTTTTTTATTTCCCTAGTTAAAATATTTAAAAAAAATAAAATAGAGTTTAATTTGAGAAAAATGTATTTCCAGCTCGAAAAAAACAAAATGAGTTACAAAATCTACATTATAAACTAAAAGAAATCATTCAAGCCATTTCCAATTTTTATAGATAGTCAAGGACTAACAGTGAATATAATTTAAATGAGCTTATTATCACCAAAGTTATTTTTATCAATTAATTAGTCCATTTTTGTATTGTATTGATATATCTCGTCCTTCTCGCACTTAACTGATAGTGATGTAGATTCGTACAATTAATGATTAAAACACGTAACCGTTACCGTACTTAAGTGATAAATCATAATTTTGACAGTTTAATTTTGCTATTTCTCCAGATTTTATTTGACCAAACAGAACACTTGTGATAAAAATTGGTATTTAGAAAATAAAGCATCCTTCAAGCTAGAAATAGTCCAAGTACCACTCACATCAAGGAAATTGTCAATTATGTTGCAGAAATTACACGAAAACAACTTATAGTAATAAGTAAATATTTTATTTGTTAAATTATTTTTATACAAGAGGATAACTAGCTTGTGTCGCTATACCACAGTGGTTATTCGCATCTTTAGCCAATTTGACGTAACCTCCGATTCCCCATTGGGGCCCATATGAATTTTTGATCAACCAGTATTTTTGCCCATTGGGTTCTGTCCCATATCCTACCACCAACACAGCATGGTTGACATCATCCGGCCTATTACCACACTGAGGGTCGTAATAGATACCATCTGAATAAAATTGAAACGATTGTCGACCTGCATCCATCGCTGCTGAAACAGGTCCTAAAGTTGCGATCGCTGCTTCGAGACCTTGTTCATCCCCTTCTGCTATGTCTACATAACCTATGTGGGGGCAACAAACGATTAGTGTGACCTTAGATTTTGACCAATATAGAAAGTCTGTGTTTACATAAATACTCCAAACTTGCGAAACAATATTTTAGAATAATTTCAACATCAATCAACTTACCTGTACAATAAGCACCAACTGTTTCTGGACGAAATCTACAAGGCCCGTTTTGCGCCTCATAAGGATATGAATCTTCAGTGTCAATCCCAGGATTAGTTCTGACATATTCGTATGCAGGATTCATTAGTCCTCCAGAACATCCATCATTACCGTAATTTGTACTACAGTCAATCAGATTTTGTGGACTTAATTCGACCAATCTGCCCGTTTTTCGGAAATTGTGGCCTTCCAAAGCTCCTGCCTGGAAATGTTATTATTGTTACTGTTTCTTTCCAACTTTTCTGAAGCGAAAATTATGCGTTTTCCTTTTGTTTAAGAATAATTGAGTTTTTTCTTAAATAACAATAGTTATTTTGGATAAAATTGGCTTAAATATTCAAACAGTGATCCCTGAAAACGAACGAAAGAACACTTCTTTTAACTCCATTTAAAGTAAAACTCTTTTTTAATATTGAATCTGTGAATGCAAGTGCCACTATTTTGTCATTTTTGGTTTTTCTAATAGTCAATAGTGCTCTTGAAGGGTAAAGGGTTTGGTTGTGAACACGGATTGCTTTTACTTTAGATTTGCAAGAACGGAATATTCAACCTTAAGACGAATTTAATTCTAAATGGGGATCAAAAGAAAATAATTATCTTTTCATATCTCATTTTTTCATTTAAAATGTTGACAGTTACTTTCCAAAATGAGTAGGTAAATGTCCAATTATTACGCAATTTTAATCATTTATTGTATGGCATCCTTAATTTGTATCCAAAGTATTGTTCATAAATCATGAGAAACAATTTCTTCTATGTGTTCGGATTTCAATTGCGAGTAGTATATTTTATTGATTACTTGTGGTTTAAATTACCACAGAAATGTAATTCCTTCCTCATTACTTTATTTTCACTACCGAATAGTAATGAGGCTTGATGAGTATTATGTTACTATTGTTGTGAGAAATGTTAGTGATTATTTATTGTTTTAAATTAATTACATTTTCTTCAGGAAATGTTAGAATGATATTTTTCTATTGAGCGTTTGCTATGACGACTTTGTAACACTATTTTTGGCAACTTTTTATGCGATACTGTCACCATAGTGGCGGTTTTAAGTGAGAGACTATTGTAGATCAACTCATACGATACACGAAATGTCACAATTTTAGCTCTCAAATATAATAATATATTAATTTAAAAGCGCTCAATGGAAACAATAGAATAATAAACACATAATATTACAAAGTTCATCATTTTATACTAGAGCATTGTAACACTCGTCATTGCGTGTCTCGTGTTACAAAGTACTCCTGTCCCAATGAGGCTGTTTATAACACTTGGTTTTTAATTTACTACTGTATACCTAGTACTAATATTTTTATTACATACCCTACTAATGTGTTTTTGTATAAAATTATGAAGTGATTCAATTGTGAATACTTTTTTTATTATATGAGCACCTTATTTTAAAGGAAAATGTAGCTAAAAAACAGTTTATAAAACTTTATACAATTTAGAAAATATAAAAGTAGTTTTTAAAAAAATCGGAAAACGTATGTATCAATAATGCTTACTTTTTAAAGATATGACGACAATACTTCTTATAACGAAGTTATTCATTTATTATTTATCACTAACTTTTGTTTTTAGGCACTTTGAAAACTTCTTTATATGTTTTTAATTCTCTACTTTATATTAAGAAAAATATTAATAAATACACTAGATATAATGAATTTCACGGTCACAACATGAGAAGAAATGAAAATATTGTGCCTTTGTATAACAAGGTATTTAGAATAAAGAGTTGTACCAGATATGATGCCATAAATTTTTTTAATGTTTTACCTGAAGATTTTAGAGATAAACCATTCAATATTTTTAAATCACAATTGAAGTTTCTTAGAATTGAATTGTTTGTACAACTCTGATGAGTTTTTTAAGTGTAATTTTGCTAGTTTAAGTGATTGATTCTTTGTATTTACCTAAGATTGTGACTGGTGTAAAACGTGTATACCGTTAATGCATCAATAAATTATTATTATTAAATTAAATTAAGTAGGCTGTGGAAAAAATGAACATTTTTATTCATTTGATCTAAGATACTCGTAAGTAAACGACTGTAAACAAAAAACTCAATTTTGATCAAAGAAGTATTATCCTAACGTCTTTAAAAATAATAAAATTTTGACGTTTTTTATAATCCAGCCTATATAATATGTATACTCGTGGTATTTTTGATTTTTTTTTAACCAATAATCTTCGATATCTCAGAAACCGTTACTTTGCGGTTCCATGTTTATTGAGACTTTTTTGTTTGTTTTGGTACATAGTACTACCTCCTGAAATATTTTAAAAATTTTTTAACACCATGTATAGTAGGGAATCAGACATTTTTTAAATATAATAATTGTAGATTTTTAACTAAAGAAAAAATAAAATAAAATCTATGTACAACGTGATTCAAAAGGATCATACAGTCACTCAGGTGGCTAGAACCATCAAATTACTTAAGAAATTTCAAACAAAAATATAAGTGATATAAATTAAAGTGTTAAATAAAAATACAACTTAATATTAATTTTTTTTTAGTTAGGGAAGGTAATTTTGTGTTTTATACAGGATACGCCAGAACACGCGCCCTAGAGAAATATGACATGTCACATACCAGAAATGTTAAAAAAATTCTGTCTATAGAAATTTTTAAGGTTTGAGAGTTTAAATTTTGCACTTTGACTTTATTTATTTCTCTTGAAAAATTTATTTTCCAAGTTTTTTTTTGCTACAGGCTATTAGAAGAGGAAACAAAAAAGCTGTATCCTAAATTGTAACTCTGTTTATTGTTATTTGTGGCTTTTGTATGTACGAGACGTTAAAATAATAAGTCAAACTTGCATAATACCCCTGTCAAATGCACAAATTTTCTGAAGGGGTAAAAAACAGCACATTAAAAATTTGTTGGTTTTTATAGTAATAATCGTTTCAAATTATTGAGTGCATTCACAAGGTGGCTTAAAATGTACTGCAGCTTCTACTAACGTTTTCTATCGCCATATAAAAGACTGTTCGACCCTTTTGAATTACCCTGTATAAAGTGTCAGAAATAATTAAGGAAATACAACCTTAGATCAAATTGTTGCAATCAAAATTAAAAGGTTTTCAAGTGAAATTTGAAAATCGTAGAATTTCAAAAATCTTACAACTTTGTCATTTTGATTTTTTGGTTATTAGACGAAGTAAATTTTTGATCAAACCAACTATTTTGATTATTATAATTTAAATTATTAAAAGGAAACAAATTTGTAATATTTTTGTCGTCAGTTTTAATCGAGTTAAAAAAATGTTTTTTAACTGATTTTTAACTGTTGAAATTTTTTGTGTATTACCTAATTGTATTAGTTGCAATTATTTGTTGAAAAGTTTAAATTGGGCCACCCCGTATAATAATTATGTAAATAATAATTAAATTTAACAGTGTGTTATTATTTCTATATTTCTATGATCCACTGGGTGATTAAAAATGATTAGATGGTATTTTATTTTCTTTTTGAAAAGTGCAATTTTTTGTTTCCGAATTTCTTTAAATAGTTGTAATTTTTAGATTATATTCTTTATCAAAAAACTTTTCAAGTAGGTTGCCATTTAAAAAAAAAATATATTAAATTTTGTAGAACTCAAAAATCAATATGTTCTATCAAAAAGTAAAAAATGTTCACTTTTTGCTCATCTGTGTGTATTTTAATATCTGAAAATCATCTCCTTGAACTCTTTCAGGAGATAATCACTAGTCATTAGGCGAATTAAAAATTATGTTGTTAGCAACATTAACATTTTGCATGAATTGCGGTTATAAATTTAATGAGTCCTTACCGCACTGAAAGCCCAGCATCCAGCACAAGAACCTTGATTTTTAACCGGTGTAACCGCACCAACTTCGCGCCAATCCACATAATCGGGGAAAATCACATTGGCACTTGGTATAAAAGTCGTCGATTGGGGTATACCAACCCTTGCACTCAAAGTCCTATTAAAACCGTTGAGCGTCCTGTGAAATTCATGATGAAGCATATCGGCAAAATTATTAAGTTGTTGGACGAAAGACCATTGACCACGGCCATATTCTTGGTTAAAACGCGCGATTTTGTGGCGATTTTCGATGAAAATTTCTCGTCTGAAATTTTCTTCTTCGGGTGAAGCATATGATTTATTGTAGGTTAGCTGCAAGAACGTTTTATTCAATAAATAAGTAAGATTCGTGTGAGGTTTAATTAGAGAGAAAGTCAATAATCTGATGAAAGTGAGTAATGAATTTGGCGTAATTGTCTTACCTTGAAGGCCATCCATTCTTCTTCAAGAAGGTTCTCTAGAGTGACACCTAAAGACACTTGGGATTTTGCAAATGTTATCACTGTTGCAAGAAACACTATTCCAGTTTTCATTTTCGTAAAGATTAAAAAGTTTCAAAATTCTATTTTTATTACCCAATTAGTTAATTTGTTGCCAATAATTATGATGATGACAGTTATGATTGCATAAATTAACACTCTTGGTGGTTTGCACTTAAGACTAAGCGATCTTGAAGAGGTTCTCTACGGTACTGAAGCAAAATTTAAATCGCTTCAATTTTTTTGTCTTCATTGAAATTGTGGAAGGTGTTTGTGTAGTCCCTCTATTCTAGAGCCTCTGGCATCGTGAGGCAACATGTGTCGCATCATCATTAGTTTACTTTCTTCTCAATGACTGTGGAGGATCGAAGCATTGCGAAACACGTCCCTCAGATTTGATATTTACATTTTTTAACTGGATTTCGGGGAAACGAAGGCATTTCGAAAAAAAATCAACAAACATACATTCCGATGAAGTTTGTGGTACTGGGAGGACCATTAGTTAGATTTCAAATGCAGTGTTGGCAAGGTTTTCAAAATTTTTGAAAATACGTGTTTTAACTTAAATTATTTTATTTTGGAAAAATAGAATTAAACGTTGTTTTTTCAACATCCTACGTGTTTTATCGTATTTTCCTTTGAATATACATTTTATATATCTATGCATTGTAGTTTTGAAATATTTATTATTTTTAAAGATATAGAAAATTAAAATCGTCATTTTGGTTGTCTTTATGGACGTAGGTTTTATGAAAAATTGTGTGTTTTAATAATTCTAATTCAAATTTTATTTTTTTTTTTAATAATTTCAACATGTCCTATGAGTTTGCATGATTTTTTTTCTAGAAAAAATTTAAACGTTTGTTTTAGTTTGGAAAGCATTGTGAAACACTCAAATCTTGATACTGATCGAAATTAATTATGACATGGCAAAGTTTGTCTGTCTGAGACATAATTCAATTATTTCAGTTTCAAATTTCAAATAATTTATCTGTTTTTATCAAAAAGGGGAATATCAGATCTTACTGTCTCAAGGATAAGTGATAAATATTTTCCTAACCTAAAATTAAAACAAAATTTTAGAAGAAATTATATTTTTGTGGTTAAAAATCTCCCTACATTACGAGTATTTAACTGAGGAAAAGAAATTAATTTTTGATTGATTTTTTTATTGAACAACCCTGTTTATTAGGAACTGTTTTCTTTTTGAGACATTTGTTTAATAGAAAATTAGTTATCTTTTAGTCCTATAGTATTAGGTACAAAAAATTTTTTGATACGTAGTCAAACTTAAAAATGTAACAAAATTATTGAAACGATTCAAAATTCAAAACTGAGTTTGTCTAACGTCGAATTAATTTGAAATTTAAATTTGCCCTTAAAGCTTTAAAGTCATTAAAAAATACTATGCTTTTTTAAAATTACATCTAATGACAATTAACTAATAACAATTAATTAATCTATCTAGATTCGTGAGGCATCTGCCTCACCCTGTATAAAACTGAAACTTTTTGAAGTAAATAGCGGGAAAGTTGTTTTTATCTAAACATCTGTGTTCCTATTTAAAAATATGCAACATTATGAATGATAAATGACACTACAACTGGTAAAATTTTTGTTTAAGAAAGATAAAAATTCATACCCACGTACACTTTTGTTTCGAAAGCGAAATTAATCAATTGGTTACAAATTAAATTGCATCTCTCATCTTTAATAAGTTTTTGATCGGTTTACATTTGCAATAATTTAAATCCAGAATCAATTTGTCCATGTTTTCATTATTTTCTCCCAAAGTTTGTGGATTGTGCAACTAGTTAATGGATAATTTTGCAACATAACAGTATTGGGTTTGGAATATTGCCAAACTAACCTCGTCGAAACAAATATGAATATAAATTTTGCTCTTTTAATTGAATTTTCAGAAAAAAGTTGGGATTTTCTGAAAAGGAAACGCAAACGTAAGTAAGAGAAAAGAAAGTACATTTATTCAGTGCAAGTATTATTGTGCGCGGAAATGGTTTAAATAAATAAATAAAAACAATTCGTCTCGTTATAGGAATTTCCCAAGCTTCGAAGACAAACACTAGGATAAATTTATAATCTTTTTTGTTTTTCTTTACTTTCTTTATAGAATTCGTGATAGCATTGTGTTAATTTAGTGAGAAATTTATATTACAATAGTCATTTTAGATTAGCTCAAATTTTACACATGCATGCATTATAGTAGAAAGAATTTAAACTTCCTTACTCTTTGTTGGATGGACTTAATAGTCTCTTGTTTTGTTGCATAATCTGTATCAATTGTTAGAAAATAAATAATCCTATTCCTTTTAGATCAATTCATTTTTCTTGAAATCTGGTAGATAGATGTTGAGTCTTGTGTAATTATTTATGACAAGTCATTTTGATTTATTTCGATCGTAAAAGGCTGCCATTGACATTACGCTTTATTAATAAAGTTTCTTCATCAACACCTTGAACTTCAATTTTTTTTTTAAATCGCTCAACTCTAATCGCTGCAATTTATATTTTTACGACAATTAAGTTAATTTTATTGTCGCAATAAGAGATGAGGAGTTTAATGGAATGTCAAACAAACCAGATTTCTTCAAGTTTTAAAATAAGCAAAATTGATGACGATTTTTCATATAATTGCAAACATTGCAAATTCAGTGATCTTGTTGAATTTTGATTTGTAAGCAATTTTGTAACTAGCATTAAATAATAGCAAAAACATTTTAAAAACTTGCAGGGAAGTCATTAGTTCGACATTTATAGTGACATATAATAATGCATTTTCAATAAAAAAGAAGATGTCAGCTTTCTAAAATCTTAATCTCTTTACTAATGATACTAATAATAAAGAAAAATCTGCATAAAATTGTGATGTGATATAGCACTTATGCAACTGCTTACGAACTGCATACAAAATTAAAACCATTTAAATAAATTTAATTTCTTATTTTTACGTGAATTCAATCATAATCAGCAATTACTTTAGTACCGTTATTACTATACAGGGTGTGTGAGAACTCGTGCCCCAGAGAAAAATTTCAAATAAGATAAGATAGGTACCAGAAACATGTAATAAATATTTAAAAAATTCTATCTGTCAAAAATTTTTGACATTATATGATAATGATCATCTTGTATATGTTTTTTTTTTTATAATTACTTAGTAAAGGTACAAAAATTTTGCCAATAAGAGCTACAAATAACATTAAACAGAGTTACAATTTAGGATTCTTATTGTCTCCTCTTGGAAAAGTATTTTTCCAACAGAAATAAATAGTGTCAGCAAAATTTAAACTCTCATAACATTGAAATTTTTGTGGGTTTTTTTTAACTTTTTTTCTATGTTCCTGGTATCTTACCTTATATGGCATTTTTCTCAGGGGCGCGAGTTCTGGCGCACTCTGTATAACAAAAAATGGGTTTTATGTTTAAATAGGCAACTGTGAACTTTACCATTATATACAACGCTTTATTTAGGATTAGATTTTATCAGCAATCAGTGTAAAGTCACGTTTACATGTCTCCTTTTTGAATACAATAGCGAAATAGGTTGTAAAATACGCCTCAATGTATTTTTTTATAAACGAACGATTCTTTAGTAATTTAATTTTTATTTAGCTACAATCTTGAATTAAGGAAACTGCAATGTTAAGGTTGTACGGAAATTTCTATTTGTTAATGAACTTTCAGTTATTTTTTCAAAGCCAAATCGTTAATTTAATGAGATGGGTTCATAAGTAAGCGTTATCTCGCGTGTCTGAATTAGTTTTTTATGACGATAATTTATTGAGTAAAGACGTGTCAGGAATTCCATTTAATACAGCATTTTTATTATCGTAATTCTGCATAACTGTGCCTTAAATTTATAATTACAAGCTTTCCGATTTTAGATAAATTCAATTTTTTATACGTCATTTACATTGATATAGTAATTTTCTCTTGCATAAGGAAATGTACAGAGGTCACCCGCGGAAGCCCCGCAATATGTAGTTTACGCAAACCGCAAATTTACTTTCATACGTGACCCCTTTCTACACCGAGGAAATTTATTTTTTAATGAAAACGGATTAGTCTATTGAATTTTTTATTTGCTTAATTAGATTTTTTAACTTATGATGATTTTAAGTGTGTACAAGAGTTAATATAAGAAAAGACAAATAAAAAACAATTTAAATTACACAAATTAAGTCTTTATTTTCGTTATCCTCATGTGGGATTAAAAAAAAACGAATCAAAGAAGCTGATTTTTTTATAGAAATATGCAACTGGTTTGTTAAAAACCAGAAAAATGTGATTTTTTTTTATGTTTCTGTTATTATTTGTATCTTTTTGTTACAGTTCGATCCAGCCCTCCAGCGTTACCAAGCCATGCGAGTGACCACTTACGACCATTTCAAACCCAATCCCAAAACCGCCGGTTATGGTTTCTTCTTAACACTCCTCCCAATGGTTGGTTATATTTATCTCCTCCATACTTCGAGGCAAGCTAAGGAGAAGAGATACCGAAATGGAGAAGTCGCCTACAAAGATCGCGACTTCAAGTTTGTTTAAATCACGCTAATGAAAACAATTTAGTTTCATTTGTAAATCTTGTTAGCATTAAAAAAATGAAAAAAAATTGTTTTTTCCTCTTGATTAACTTTGAAATTTTGAAGGTGATAGGGTAAGTACCTACCGGATGTTTTTACACAATTGTGCGATTATCAGTTGCTTTTGAGGAGATAGTCCGACATTGAATTTCGGTGTTTCATGTAAATTTTACAAAATGTAACAAGGAGATAGCAGGAAGTTTTTAAGTGGAAATCTTTGACTTTTGTTATTTGAAATATAAAATGAATTGATCTTTGATTAATTAATCACATCTCAAAAATAATGCTCTTTGTATAATATTTCAAAATCACATGTATTTGAGTAAATTTTTCGTGGGTAACGTCACATACTTTGTTTCCTTTTTGCTCAATGATCAGTGATTATTTTTAAAATAAAAAAAATTCTTTATTTGCTTTAATTAGTACGCAGGTACTCTTTGTTTGTTTTAAATAAAGAAACAGTTTTTGTTTATTCTAATTAGAACAAAGAAGGTGCAATTGACCATTTTTACGCAAAAGAAGAGTCTTAAAACAATTACTTTTATAAAAATGCAATTTTAAGTAAGATTAACATGCATTTCTCCTATATGGCGCAACACCTGAATAGCAAACATTAACTTCAAAAAATCATATCTTAAAAACTACTCGGTATATTATTTTAAAAATTTGGATTACCATTAATAAAAAGATGCTCTACACGATGGTGACAAAGAAAAAAAAATTACTCGTAGGGTTTTTTTTAGATTACTTCGAACTTCTTCGAAGAAAAGTTTGGCAAAAAAAGTTTTAAAGTTAAAGTATTTAAAATTTATTTAAATTAGAAACAAATTATTTAGTTCAAAGTGTGTGGATTTTTTGAATTCCTTTTTAGTGCATTTTATTTGTCTCACTGAGGCGAACAAAATGATATAAAATTTGTCAAGTTATCACGACATGACTTTTTTTGTCGCCCTGTGTAATCAGTTTAATTTTATTCCTTGTTATTTGTGGCACGTTTCTTTTACGTAGATTTCCCGGAGTCGCCTTGCAAGAACACAAATGAGAAAAATGAAATTTTATTGAAAAAAACACAAATTTACAAAATCAACAAATTAAACGCAATACAAGGATCCTCTTATCTCTCCTCGAGTTGCTTATCCCTGCTTACAACAGCATCATCGAATTTCACCATGTATGTCGTTCCTTTGTGCCAATGTGCTGTCACTTTAGCCGTCTGTAAAGAATATGTTGTAATGTTATGTTATCTGTGACGTTAGTCAAACATTATTTCTAATGAAAAAAAATGAGTAGGGTCGTCGTACTTGCTACTAAAACAGTATCAACACAATAAAATAAATAATTGATTGTGTTTCAGCGAGATGTGGGTCAAATTATTATCCGAAACAGAATTTTATCAAAGCGCGTGACTTGAAATCACATGAACATGTAGCAATTTATCAGCAATTAATGCGAGATAATAGAAATTTGAAGCAGTTTCTCGAACAAGCACAACAAAAATATAATATTTCTGTTTCATAATACGAAAAATCAACTCATGACTATCGCTTTACAGAGTATAAAAATAATAAATAAGAAGAATTTTATTTTTAATAGGCCTTTCATTATGAATAAAGAAAAATCACACTTCGATTAATACTACTAACTAAATGCAACTACCTTGAAAAAAAATTAAAAATATAGTCATAGTCGATGATTTTGAAATTTGATATAGGGGCTAGATGTTGATTCTAAACACTTTTTTGTTAATAACCACCAAAAATAGGTTTTTTTTGGAAATTTCCAAGGCAAAACTAAATTGTGTCTCTAGCCAAGCAGGGCTGAACACCAAAAAAAAATTAAATCGAGAATTTTTTATCTTTTACAACAGTCATTTGTTAATTATAAAAAAAATAGTTACTTTTGAAAGTTTTTATTAATTAATATACTATTATTTAAAAAAAAATATTAATTGAAAGATAATATACAGGGTGTAAAAAAAGGATTGTAAAATATTTCTCAGAAGGTAACACTATGTACCAAACAAAAAAGTCTTAATAAACATGGGTCCGGTTTCGGAGATATCGAAGATTATTCGTTTTTTGAAACATTTATTTATAATCTGTTCAAACAAAAAATAGAAGCTTTTAGAAAGAATTACAAAAATTTTCACATTCGATATCTCCGAAACCGTTACTTTGTGGACCCATGTTTATTAAGAATTTTTTGTTTATTTTGATCCATCCTATGACCTTAAATATTTTACAATCATTTTTAACACCCTGAATAAATTTACAAATTAAATTTTTTAACAAAAAAATAGAATAATAATAAATAATAATAATAAATAAATTAGGGAATTAGGGAATAAATTAGTAAAAACCTACAGGAGTAACTACCATTTTATAATTAACGAAAAATCAAGGTTCTATTATTGACACCAGAAATAAAAGTTTTTTATTTATATACAGAGGCTCAAAAAGGGGCGCACAAGTCAATGAAAGATGATAGAGAAATTCTAACATAAAAAATAAGAAATTAAAAAGTTATTGATAAAAATGTAGGTATTCAAAAAATATTGTTTTCTTAGGGAATAAATATTGTTACTAGATGACAGTTAAAATTATTAGTGTTACCATACCTACAAACTGTATTTTTTTGTTGAATAAAATAATTAAAAAAAAACAAATACTAAAGTAAATGCAAAAACAATCATCAATGAAACGGTTACTTAAAGTAAAATAGGAAAACTTGAGAAAATTAAGTGAATTGAAGAACTTGAAGATTTTCTAAAATCTGATCTCGAGAATTTTTTCTCCATTTTTCTTGTAATCTGCAAATGCTTCTCAACAACGTACCACTGAATTGTTACGCCAATTTTAGCGAAAAACTTCATATTTATCAATATGTAATGACATTCAAAAGCACAGGCTACTGTACTGTTGTAACTGTATTCACACCCAAACATAGTTATTGACAACGTATACCACATACGTGACACATACTTAATTTTTTTAGTATTTAAAATCATATAATGTTATGCAAATAAAATGAAACATCAAAAGCTGTAAATCAAACTACCGCATGAATGTGATTTCTTTGATCCACACGTTTTGAAACCTTTTGAATCAGCGAACATTAATTATGAGGTGTCAACTATACAATAATACAATAATCAAAAATTACAACCAATTTGGCTACAATTCGACTTTCACAGTTGTTGTGAAATTATTCAATGATTAGAAGCCTATTTAAATGATTACTACGTGTTTTCATTTGAATAATTATTATACAGTGTAAATTGTTAAAATTAGGGCGTGAAGTATATAAATTATACACAGCTGAGTATAACTGGTTGCATAAATCAACTATTTACTTACAAAGCCTGTTCCAGTAAGTACAGCTTCAATTATGCCAGCAATAAACACAGCGCAATTTAAACTGCTTTTATCCCTAGGGACTGAAATAAATCTGTTCACTAACGGCTCCTTTTCCATCAAATAATACGTATTTTCATCATCATTGGAATGTTCTAATTTATCAGCTTCCCGTCCAAACAACGCCTAAAACCACACAGTCGTAACTCATTTAAACCACTAGGGGTCCCCCAAACCTTCCATAAAGTTGATTTAACAAAAAGGAGTATATTTAACAATTTAATCTCTCGTTTGCCATTTCTCTCTCTAAGAAAATAGAGGTCGATCAATTTTACCCCAACTCTGCGCCCCAATTCGTGCAATCTAACGTCACAAAGACAATATTAAATTTGATTAACGATCTTAGTCAACAAATACCTGTTTTGTAGCTCGGGGACTGTGTGAGATTTATTTTGACAGTATTGGACGACTTCAGAAAATAGCAAAGCGAAGCAACTTAAAGACACTTCACCCTTACCCCGGCTTAGGGGCTTGTCCAAAATGCTTGTCTTATTGCGCCCCGTTAAACTCATCTTCAAATCAACAACAAAAGTGAGGTTAAAATTAAATTGACACAGGGTTTGGTAACTTTAGCTTTTTGGGTTGGCTACGTACCGAATCCTAGGTTATGTTTGAAATTTTCAAAAGTCGATTTTAAATTTACAATTTAATGTGAGTAAATTTAACGTAAACGTATTTTTTACGTTCTTCAAATTTTCAGAAAATGTCTATGAACCAATATATGCACCCCCGAAACATCTACAAACAGCCCCCCAACTTCAAACAGTTAGCAATAGAGTACCCCGAATTTCGCAAATATACCACTCAGGACGTGTCAGGGAAAGTCACGATTGATTTTAAGAACGTTGAGGCTCTTCGGGCTCTCACTTGCACTCTTTTAAAGAAAGATTTTGGCTTAAATGTGGAAATTCCGGCTAACAAACTCATCCCAACAATCCCACTAAGACTGAACTACATTTTATGGATTGAAGATTTATTAGACCTAGCCGGAAAGCCCGAAAATGTTAGAGGAATAGACATCGGGACTGGGGCTTCCTGTATTTACCCCTTACTCGCAGCGAAAAAATCCCCGTGGTCAATGATAGCCACCGAAATTGACCCTGAGAGCATCAAATATGCCACCAACAACGTTAAAAGCAACAATCTTGAAGCGTTAATCACAGTCGTTGAAGTAAAAAAAGACAGTTTACTCGACGAAGTCTTGCAGAAACATTTAGGAGACTTCAATTTTTGTATGTGCAACCCCCCGTTCTTTTCAACAACCCAAGAACTGCACCCCTTTTTCAAAGCCCGGAAACAGAATCGTCCACACCCCAAAAACGCATTTTGCGCCTCTGTTGACGAAGTCGTGGCTACGGGGGGCGAAGTCGAGTATATTTCACGCCTAATCAATGAGAGTAAAACATGGGGGCTCAGAGTCACGATTTATACTACAATGGTGGGCCACAAGTCTTCTCTCCCACCGTTGAAAAAACTGATAAGGGAGATTGGGGTTGTCAGTTTTAAACAAACGGAGTTTTGTCAAGGGCATACGACTCGGTGGGGCCTAGCTTGGACTTTCCATGATATTGATTTAACGAAAATCCCTGATTCTTTGGTTGCTGCTAAACAGAAATTAACTAAACCACTTTTGTATCAAGTGCCAAAAACCGACGACTCGGAATACAAAGTTAGTTTCATTTGTGAAAGACTTGTTAAAATTTTTAAACAACTCCAAATGGATTTTCAAGAAATCAAGCATGTTAAAAATTTAGTAGAGTATGTTATTGTGGCATATTCGGACACTTGGTCGCATCAGAGGAGGAAAAGGCGAGAAAAATTAAGACTCAGCGATGAAATGAAAAAATGTGGTAATAATAATTTAGACAGTCCTGAAAGAAATGAGGTTTGTGAAAAGTTGGCCGAGTTGGGGGTTAATGGGTCTCCATCGAATAAAAGGGCGCTTGACGAGGATTGCGGGTTTTATAATGCGAAGAAACGAAAAACTGAATTAGATGAATGTAACTCGGAGAAGATTTATCTGAAGGCTAAAATTAGTGTTGCAAAAATTGAGGATTGTATTGGGCTGGAATTGCTTTTTTTTGAGGGAAAGGGTACGAAAGAGGCTTTACATCAAATTCTTCAATTTGTTAAAAATAATTTGATGAAGGATGAATTGTAATTTTTTTTACCATTATGTAGAATAATTATTTATTTTAGTTTAAGAATATAAGTATATTTTTGTTATTGTGGGAATAATAAACGATTCTCAAATACCAAAGTTTTTATTTTGTAATTAAAAAAATAAGTAATTACGTTGTCGGAATTATGGGCGTTGTTTGATAAGTAAAATCATATTTAAATAAACTGATAGAAAATATTAGATGTTGCATCAGCATAATTTCCTGAAAATTTATTTAATATTGTGTAAGATTGGAAGTTTGTAATATTTGGATCATGCGCAAAAGATGTTTTGTGAATTATAAAAACATATTTTTCGATATAATGTTGGCAGAACTTTTTTATTCAAAGCACGATCAAAAAATCCAATAACAATACATTTTCTTCTATTTCGAAACAACCCCAAAGTAGCTGCATAGAAATCAGAGCTCTCCTATGAAACGACCAATTCGGTTAAGTTCGGAAAATCTTCGTTATGAGCTCCGAAAGCAACTTTAAAAATTTATTAAAAAAAGTACTGGCTAAAAAACAATTTTATTTAATTAGAGGTCATTTTTACATGATAATCTTTAATTAAAAAAATTACAATGGTGGGTTGCCATTAAAAAAAAATTCTAGAACTCGAAAACTAAAAGAAATTTCGAAAAATGTTATTCTTGATAAATGGTCACATTTTAATTGTACTTTACGCTACTCTAATTATTTTTTTCGTAAAGTGCTTAGTTTACGAAAAAAACGCATGGTTCCATACTTTTTATTCACCTGGTATATTATTATTTTAAATAGCTTGATTTTGAATTGACACTTTTTTTTAACTATTTAAAACGTTTCCTGGAATACGAAATTTTAACAGTACCCACATTAAAATTAAACCGAGAATTAAACGATTACATGATTACAATATACAGAATGCGCCAGAACTTACGCCCCAGAGAAAAATTTCAAATAAGATAAGATACCAGGAACATGGAAAAAATGTTTAAAAAATTCTCTGTCAAAAAATTTTGACATTTATTTTTTGTCATTTTTTATCACTATTTAATGATACTGATGACCTTGTATATGTTTTTTACAATTATTTAGTAAAGGTACAAAAATTTTACCAATAAAAACCATAAAAAGGATACAGCTTCCTTCTTTCCTCTTCTAATAGCCTGTAGCAAAAGAACTTGGAAAATTATTTTTTCAACAGAAATAAATAGAGTCAAAGTGCAAAATTTAAACTCTCATAACTTTGAAATTTCTGTAGATAATTTTTTTTTTAACATTTTGTTTATGTTCCTGGTATCTTACTTTATATGGCATTTTTCTCTGGGGCACGAGTTCTGGCGCATCCTGTATTTTTTTCAGTTTTCTGTAGAGAATTTAATAGATTTGTTTAGACCCATCATCTGTTTTGTCAGTATTTTAACTGCCCAAGTTTACATTTTTTATCCAAATAAATTTTCCAGTTCTGGGTTACTCATAATTTTCTCTTATTTAAATTCATAATTATTCTACGTTTTTTGTTTTATCTTTCTTCTTTTTATTTTTTACTAAACTATTAACGTCCAGTATGACACAAGACAGGTTATCAGAGTTAGCTAAAATTAGTATCAAAAATGAAACTGATTTAGACGTAACTGATATTGAAAATTGATTTTGGTTAATTATTTTTTATTGTGTTTTAATGTGTCGTCATTTTTTGTTGATTTCATTTCAATTTTGATATTTATTTAACTTTACAATTTTGATATTTGTTTAACTTTAATATGGTCTTGTGATTTAATAATATAAAAAAAATAATATAAATAAAAACAACTGAAAATAAAAAGCTGTAATTTTTGCTGTAATAAGACTAGAGACTAGATTTTGTCTACTCCCTCGAATGCATCATTGGAACAACGGCTTTAAACATCTCTCATGACCTGAGAGCAAGGTGCAAATATAATGATAAGATTAAACAAACTACTTATTTTCGTATTTTTTGTTTTTTTTTTTTATTAAGATTAGTAGTAGAAAAACCCTAAAAATAATTCATTGCATTACGAGTTTCAGCATTTTCTTATTTTTATCTAAAGATACACCAATTATGATAAATTTATTATAAAATCATAAATCCTTGTTGGGGGTCTTCTTGGATTATCGATTATCGGTTACTTCATAGCCTTAGATAAGATAAAACGTCAAGTGTTTTCTTGTTTTTGTAACTTATCTTATTTACGAAATAACTAAAATGGAAAATAACATTTGAGACCAAGAATAAATTGTTGACCCAGAGAATTACCAGATAAAATTTATCAGTCAGTAACAAATAGCCTTCCCACTATGACACTATTCATCCCAGGAAGACCAGTCCAATTATTTTCACTGTGCAAAAAATTTGTTAGTGTCCATAAAATGTCCACTTCGGCTGAATTTCTTATAAACGATCCCAAATATTCATTTTTGAAAGATTTGGGCTTGAAAGCGACTAATTTCGGGGTTTATGACGGTACATGGAAGGGTTCAGGCTCGGTAAGTTGCATTTTGCAACATTTTGACACTTTTTAATAGTTAGTCCAATCGATTTGTCCAAGTAATGGAAAAGTGATAGCCGAAGTGCGCCAAGGAACCGTCGAAGACTACACCTCGTGTATTAAAGCATCGCAAGCCGCTTGGAACACATGGGCTGATTTGCCGGCCCCCAGACGTGGCGAAATCGTCCGCCAAATCGGGGATGCCCTCCGAGCAAAACTCCACCCTTTGGGCAAACTAGTCTCCGTCGAAATGGGCAAAATCCTTCCTGAAGGAATCGGGGAAGTCCAGGAGTACGTGGACATTTGCGACTACGCTGTTGGACTTTCGCGCACTCTCGCAGGGGCAATCTACCCCTCGGAGCGTCCAGGCCACGTGTTGATGGAAAAATGGAACCCTTTGGGGGTAATTGGGGTGATTTCCGCCTTTAACTTCCCCATTGCTGTCTATGGCTGGAACAGTGCCATTGCCATGGTTTGCGGAGACACAGTTTTGTGGAAAGGGGCTGAAACCACCCCTTTAGTGTCCGTCGCAACCACGAGAATAGTCGCAGAAGTCCTCGAACGGAATAACCTTCCGGGGGCTATCGCCACTTTGTGCTGTGGAGGGGCCGATGTTGGCAAAGCCATGGCTGCAGATGACCGAATCAAATTATTGTCCTTTACTGGAAGTTCGCAAATTGGACAACAAGTCGGGGTTGAAGTGCAGAAAAGATTTGGGAAGCATTTGTTGGAATTAGGGGGAAATAACGCCCTTATCGTTGCCGATGATGCCGATTTAAATATGGTAGTCCAGGCGACTTTGTTTGCCTGTGTGGGGACTGCTGGGCAAAGATGTACAACTACTAGGAGGTTAATTCTGCACAAAAATGTAAATTTTGATCACTTTTAATGAAGACATGAGAGTAGTTTGGGGTTTGTAGGTCTATAATGAAGTTCTCCAACGACTAAAAAAAGCCTACGAGCAGGTTTTGCACCGGATTGGGGACGCTTTAGATGACAAAACGTTGATAGGGCCTTTACATAGTCAAATGTCTTTGCAAAAGTATGAAAACACGATTGCTGAAGTGAAAAAACAAGGAGGAACTATCGAATTCGGGGGAAAAGTAAATTTTGCTTCAAGTTTCGAATTGTGTATCTAATTACTTTTTAGAAAATTGAAGGTCCTGGATTTTTTGTACAACCAACCATAGTTACTGGTCTCAAACACGACAACCCCTTGGTACATAGTGAATGTTTTGCTCCAATTGTTTATGTTTTGAAAACGGAAAGTGTTGATGAAGCCACTTCGTGGAACAATGAAGTTCCGCAAGGTCTCTCGTCGAGTATTTTTACACAAAGTGTTGAAAATATATTCAAGGTAAATGTTATTTTGATACAACATTAAAATTAAAAATTGTTATTGTTTTAGTGGATTGGGCCTAAGGGGTCAGATTGCGGCATTGTGAATGTTAATATTCCAACTTCAGGGGCTGAAATTGGAGGTGCTTTTGGTGGAGAAAAACACACAGGTGGAGGTCGTGAATCTGGAAGTGACGCTTGGAAGCAATACATGAGGAGGTCAACTATTACAATCAATCATTCTAAAGAATTGCCTTTAGCACAAGGGATTAAGTTTGAATAAACGTTGTTTGAATAAAATTGTGATGTTTATATACTTTGGACTTGAGGCAAGAAATTGCCTCATAATAACTGTTTTTATACGTTATGAGTAAACGTGAATAAGAAAATTTTCCTTGAATTATTTATTATAATAATAATAAGTGTTTCATTGTCCACGTAGACTTTCGCGTCCAAAGTCAGGTTGAAATTCAACTTCGAAACCATGTGTAACGCAAAGCCATTTGGTTCATTGAATACCATTCGTAGTCAAAGATTGTCAAATATTTTTGACTACTCGGGGTATTATAACTGATTTTTTTTTTTCAAAATTAACATGCAAAATTGTAGAAAAATGTGAAAAAAATTGATTTTTCCATTTTAATGATTACACAATGTTTGAAAATAATTAATTCCATTAATTCTTTTGTAAAACTTTGATCAATCGGTCCGAGAAAACAGTTTAGAACTATATTGGGCATAAAAAAACTTAATGACTATTTGGTCTCCTCATCAATATTTGTGAATACGCGGTAGATTTACTACAACAAAAAAAGTTACTTTTTTATCTTTTCTTTAAATCAATGTTGCAAGTAATTTTTTTTTTCAAAAAATCGTAAAAACATCTTGCTGAAAATTTATTCCAGTTTTTGAAACTGGAACATAAAGAAAGCAAATTAAAGCTGAATGAACAAACCATCCGGCTCATGTATTGATTTAATTAATAAAAACTTCGTAGACTAAAAAAAGGAATTTTTTTTCTCGCGCTATTTTTTAGGATACGTAATAACCGAAGTTCAGAAAATTTTTGCCAAAAAATTTCAAAACTAGAAACTTGATGGTTTAAAATGATTTTTTTTAAATCTAAACACCACCATTTTTCACTGAGGTACAATATTTCAAAAAACATAAAAAAAATTCATTCTCTAAGTTTTTTGGAATAGTAAAGGTTTATGGTAAATGTTTTCTGGTTCTGAAGTTTATGAAATAATAAGAAATATTTTTTCAAGGAGTTTTCCACTAAAGAGCTTAATTTTGAATTAATTTGAAAAAAGTAAAAACAAAATAGAACATAAACGATGAATTTGATCCATTTTCTCGAAGGGGGAAATAGAAAAATTAAAAATTTAAGACATTTTAAAGAATTAAAGAATGTAACGTTACTAAAAAAAGATTAGGACAAATAAGAAGTTCTAAATATTATTAAGAGTTATTACCACTATCTTTTTACGAGAGTACATTAATTTCATTTATCAATGGGTGTCCCACACCCATTAAAAAAATTCAATGGGTGCTTCCGCCCCGATGCGCCCATGTAGTCGGCGCCCATAAGATATCGATCGTCTTTTATAAATTTTAAACACTTAAGCTGAACGCAAAAATGTTCGTCTCTGAAAGTACATTTAAAAGCCTATTTTTTATAAAATTTTAAGATAAAAAAAACAAATTGGGGAAACATATTTTATAAATTTATTTAACAAGTTTGATTAACTCACAACACAATTTCTGACACATAGAAAAGAGATTAGCCTACACTTATATACGTGATGAATTTTTTACAGATTTTCCTTTGAGTAATCAATATTTTTTAGTTGAATTAAAACCGAGACCATCGAAGTAATACTTTTAATGATCTATAAACATTGGATTTATTTAGATATAAAACCCCTATTTACTTACAGAGATTCCTAACTCATAATTTAGGGCAATGTTTTCTGAAAACTGTATTTTGCAAGGATTTTGTGTATTTTGTAACACCACAAGATACGTTTTCTGATTTGGAATGTTCCAATGATACCAGTCAATAGTTTTTAATACTTCAAAAATCTCAAACGTCTTAAATTTAAATTAAAGAAAAAATATTTTTTAGTTTTCTTACTTACAACATTTTCAGTCAGCTGCCCTATCACAATAATGTGAAAAAATGTGAGGAAACATCCAATGGTGAAAACTGCGATTCGTAAATACTGACTTTCAAACGACCCTCGAAACTAAAAAACAATAATTGTTTCTAAATTTCTAAAATACCCTGATTGCTTACAGAGAAAACAAAGGTTAAAATGCTTAATAGAATTACCACTCCAGTTACGGCAAAAACAATGATTAAATTATATAATTCTCTGCGGCATTGTTTGAGAATCCTTTTAAAAAATATCGTTTTTAATAATCAAAATATTGATTAAGACATACGTAATTAAATGAATATGACGTTCGATACAAAACTTTAGTCTTTTCTTGATTTCTTGCTGATACTTTGCGTCGTAGATGGTTTGGTTCCTGTAACCAGAATTTAAATTTTTCAAATGATATAATAACATCAGTAGTTGGAATCGTATATGATGAAGTAGATAAATAACATTAACGAATGGAGTTGTCATTATTACAGGTAAAGACAAAATGCTAAACCTGTAGCACCACATTAAATAACTCTTCCATTCTGGAACAAATCGGTCAATGAGTGCTATTGGAAAAATAAAATCTGTATCATCTTCATTCGGGATATAAAAACAAATTGTGCAT